AAGGAAGGAAAAAAGAAAGAAAGAAAGAAGATAAAGTAAAATAAAATAAAGTAAGATAAAATATAATAAAGTTATTAAAATAATTATTAAGAAAAAAAAGAAAAAAACAAAAACAAAAAAAGGACGAATAGAACCCTAGGAGAAATGGTGGAAGCAAAGCTATACAGACAAAATCTCACACAGAAGCATACACATACACTCTCTCAAAAAGAGGGAGAGGGGAAAAAATCATAAATCTTGCTTTCAAAGTCCACCTCCTCAATTTGGGATGATTCGTTGTCTAAAGGAGGGAAGGAAGGAAAGAAAGAAAGAAAGAAGATAAAGTAAAATAAAATAAAGTTATTGAAATAAAAAATAATTATTAAGAAAAAAAATTTAAAAAAAGAAAAAAAATGGACGCATAGAACCCTAGGACAAATGGTGGAAGCAAAGCTATACAGACAAAATCTCACACAGAAGCATACACATACACACTCTCAAAAAGAGGAAAAGGGGAAAAAATCATAAATCTTGCTCTTAAAGTCCACCTCCTCAATTTGGGAATGATTCCTTGTCGATTCAGGTATTCCACAGGTGCAGGGTACATCAAGTTGATTGTGGAGCTTTAATCCGCTGCTCCTGAGGCTGCTGGGAGAGATTTCCCTTTCTCTTCTTTGTTCTCACAGCTCACAGGGGCTCAGCTTTGGATTTGGCCCCACCTCTGTGTGTAGGTCGTAGGAGGGCGTCTGTTCTTCGCTCAGACAGGACGGGGTTAAAGGAGCCGCTGATTCGCGGGCTCTGGCTCACTCAGGCCGGGGGGGGAGGGAGGGGCACGGAGTGCGGGGCGGGCCTGCGGCGGCAGAGGCCGGCAGGACGTCGCGCCGGCGTGACGTCGCGCCGGCGTGACGTTGCGCCGGCGTGACGTTGCACCAGCCTGAGGCGCACCGTGCGTTCTCCCGGGGAAGTTGTACTTGGATCCCGGGACCCTGGCAGTGGCGGGCTGCACTGGCTCCCCGGAAGGGGAGGTGTGGATAGTGGCCTGTGCTCGCACACAGGCTTCTTGGTGGCGGCAGCAGCAGCCTTAGCGTCTCACGCCCGTCTCTGGGGTCCGCGCTTTTAGCCGCAGCTCGCGCCCGTCTCTGGAGCTCCTTTAAGCAGCACTCTTAATCCCCTCTCCTCGCGCACCTGGAAGCAAAGAGGGAAGAAAAAGTCTCTTGCCTCTTCGGCAGATCCAGACTTTTCCCGGACTCCCTCCCGGCTAGCCGTGGCGCACCTGCAGGCTGTGTTCACGCTGCCAACCCCAGTCCTCTCCCTGCAATCCGACCTCTGAAGCCCGAGCCTCAGCTCCCAGCCCCACCCGCCCCAGCAGGTGAGCAGACAAGCCTCTCGGGCTGGTGAGTGCCCGTCGGCGCCGATCCTCTGTGCGGGAATCTCTCCGCTTTGCCCTCCGCACCCCCTGTTGCTGTGCTCTCCTCCGCAGCTCCGAAGCTCCCCACCTCCACCACCCGCAGTCTCCACCTGCGAAGGGGCTTCTAGTGTGTGGAAACTTTTCCTCCTTCACAGCTCCCTCCCACTGGTGCAGTACCCATCCCTATCCTTTTGTCTCTGTTTATTCTTTTTTCTTTTGCCCTACCCAGGTACGTGGGGAGTTTCTTGCCTTTTGGGAGGTCTGAGGTCTGCCAGCGTTCAGTAGGTGTTCTGTAGGAGTTGTTCCACGTGTAGATGTATTTCTGGTGTATCTGTGGGAAGGAAGGTGATCTCCAAGTCTTACTCTTTCACCATCTCCCCCTCCTCTCGTAATTGCCTCTCTTTAGGCTGGTTTTCAACTGTACTTAAGAGAAAGCCAGCAGAAATACAGGGGTTCAAGAATAAAGCCAGGTTCAAAACAAGAGCCCATCAATTCAAAGAGAGCAGGACCCTCTCCCTTTCTTGACACCAAAGCCCAACTTTTTTCTAGAATCAGATTAAGTTAACGATGTAAGGGAATGCCACACTTCTCTCTCATCATTGTCCTTTTTATTTCTGCTTAGCCTCTGAGCCATTTTGTAGGACCTGCAAGAACAGGGTAAAAGTGAAACTGAATTCTGAGGAAGAGGCTGTCCCTGACAGCATTCCCTTTCCTGTGGGAAGCCATTCAGGATTGTTCTAGAGCTGATGGATGAGAAAAATGTGCATTCTTTCCCCCACTTCTCCCCATCTCTGTGTATTTCTGAATGTTTAGAGATCCTTTTGGATACATACTCATAATAACATTAGAAAAATTAATATTTATTAAGAAATTCTTGGTGCCCAGCACAAGCTGAGCACGACAAATGCATCATCATATTTAATGTTCTACGTGCTGCTTCCAAGCAAGAATGGAATGCTGGAAAGGAAAGTCCTAAGGAACCCTCTGGTTAAAGACGGGTTAGGAGAGGGTTTAATGAGTCTAGCTATTGCAAGTGCTAGAAAGCCACGTACGCTGACATCAGAGCTGAGCACACCTCAAACCTGTGGGACTGAATTTAAATACTTCAGCAGTTTAAAGTTTTCAAAAGTGGTGAAATGAGAACAGACTTGTAGTGGAGACTGGTTAAAAATTCTAACCAAGACCTGATGGGAAGTCCATTCATTCATTCATTCATTCAAGAAATACATGCTGAGCACCAATAACATGGCAGGCACTGTTCTAGGCCTCGGGATATAGCAATGAGCAACACAAAATCTTTACCCTTATGGAGCTTACACTCTAGGGGTATTCACAGAAGCACAGTAAAAAATTATGTGATGTAAGATAGTGATAAATGCTAGGGCATAAATAAAGCTGTAGGGAGATAGTGACAAGAATGCTCTTTTCGATAGGGTAGCCTCTGAGGTGGTGATGTTTGAACAAGACTTGTTGGGGTTGACGTGAAGAAGAATGCCATGGGGTTATGTAGCAGAAGGAATACACGGCAGAGGCCACAGCAAGTGCAAAGGCCCTAAAGCAGGATGACATTTGGCCACTAAGCAAGAGTACCATGAACAAGGGGATGACTAGTAGGAGGGGAAATCAGAGAGGGAGCCAGGGCTCGGGTTGTGCAGATCAATAAAAATCATTTCAGTCTTTGAGGCCCTGTTGGGTTTGGGTGATTACCACATTTTTAAAATTAATTTTAATTTTTTAAAATTAAAAAAATTTAATTTTTAAAAATTAAATTTAATTATTAATTTAATTAAAATTTTTAATTTTTTAAAATTAATTACAATTTTTTTAATTTAATTTTTAATTATCATAAACCCCCTTGAGGTAAGTCTGATTAATTCATTTTAATGTTGCCCAAAGCCACCCTACTGAGCCGTAGCATTCTCTTGGGATTCTAGAGCATCCAAGTTCATTGAGGGTGGCAGTCTCTCCCAGCTTGCTGCTGACCAGGACTTTCTCTCTCCATCAATCACCACATATTCCTAGAGCAGAAAAATCTTTTTTAAAACACTATGAGATATTTCTTTACCATCTTCATTATTTAAAAATATTTGCCCTAACCTTTTCTTATATTTGGCCAAGGCCTAATGCCAAATGGGTATTTTCTGCACCTAGGCCTTAACATGCATCCTACAATGGTTTTCTTTCTTTTAAAAGGTGCTAAAAATAACTTGGAGCACAGCTGTACTAAAGAGGAAAAATGAAGAGAATCTTAGCGATAGGTCCATAGCCCATGATCTCTGGGTTCCATTCATAAAAGAGGTCTTTCCTTTTTTGGTCTATAACACTGAGCCTAATCTGTGTAAAAACATCCAAGGATTAAGTTAATTACTGGAGAGTCCTGGGATTGTTCCCCAAATGAAATGGAGTCACAAATAATTCTAATGATGTTTTATAATAAAAGTAGAATTAAAAGACTGAAAAATATGCAACAAAGACTCTCTGGTCCATATAAAGATGAAAAAAGTAGTGTAAATTGAACTTAATATCCTACATTTTTATTATTTTCATTGAAAAGTGAAATGAATAAAAATGTGTCTTCATTTTAGCTATAGATGGGCTTAAATCAGGACATGGAAAAATCAGCTTAAGCTAAGAGTGACTCAATCCATCCAAAGAACCAAGTTTTCTTTGGGAGGATATGCCCAGATTCCCTACTGAGTCTTGTCCTGCATGGAAGGTAATGGGAATTCATTTTCTAAATCTCGTGCTGGCCCATTAGAAAGTTACTGTTTGGTTAATTCCATCATAATGTATTATTGTATTGCCAGCTATTATAATCTAGAGCTAGTCTGATGGTGCTTGTGTCTCAGGATAAGTAGGAAAGTAGCTGGATTAGTTTGCTAGGACTGCCATAACAAGGTACTACAGACTGGGTTACTTAACTTACACAGTCTCTTACTGTAGCTTAAACTACAAAAACATATTTTCTCACATTCCTGGAGGCTGGAAGTCTGAGATCAATGTGTTTGGTCAGGTTGGTTCCTTCCGAGAGCTGTGAGGGAGAATCTATTCCGTGTCTCTCTCCTAGTTTCTGGTGGTCTGCTGACGATTACCTTCGGCATCCCTTAACTTATAATACATTATCCCAATCTCTGCCCCTTCATCTTCACACAGCATTCTCCGTGTGTGTGTGTGTGTGTGTGTGTGTGTGTGACTGTGCCCAAATTTCTCCCTTTCATAAGGACACATCCATACTGAGTTCTAGCCAATCCTAGTGACTGCATCTGAACTTGATTATTTGCAAAGACCCTATTTCCAAATAAGGCCCCATTCACAGACAGCAGGGTTAGGACTTAAGCACCTTTGTGGGGGAATATAGTTCAGCCCATAACACTAGTGTACAAGAAGGTTAAATAAAAACTTCTCTCCTTTTGTAGGATTCTCTTGGATATCCTTAAAGATTATACCGAGGACAGGAGAATCCTTATAGTAGACAAATCATCTCTTTATTCATTGCATTATCAGCCTGAGTCCTCCTTCATATATTTGTGTGTCTCTCTGGGTGTGTGTGTGTGTGGTTTTGCTTGATTTCCAGCCGTTGTATGCTATCTAACAACTATCCCTTTGCTAACAGGGCAAATTTGGAGATCAGTTATGCCAAAGGACTTCAGAAACTGGCAACCAAACTCAGCAAAACATTACAGAGCACAAAGAAAAAGTAAGTATATGGAAGAGATAAGGCAAAATCACTCCTAAAAGTAATAAAAAGCGACATATGTTCAATTCCAGCTTCCTCATATAAATGTGGTAAGTCCAGAGAGTCAAGCATGGCTTCCAGTTCTTGGGCTCTTACTGTGTGCCAGACACTGTGTTAAATGCTTTCATAGATACTCTACATTTAATCCTCACAACCATCTCTGAGAAGTCTTTTTATGATCCCTATTTACAAACAAGGACTTGAGGCTTGGAGAGTTTAAGAACCTTGCCTGGTCACACAGATAATGAATTTCAGAGCTGGGTTCATCCTGTGTCTTTGTGACTCCTAAGCTCATATTCATAAAAGGCCTTGGTGAGGATATTAACTTGGGAAGCAGTGTGGTTAAGTCGGAAGCTCTTGAAATCAGGAAGTGTGAATCCTGCTTTATCTCAAATTTATGACCTTCAGCAAGCAACCTGGCCTCCCTTGATTTCCTCCTCTGTTATGTGGAGTAACAAGATGTGCTCCATTGTGTGTGTGTGTGTGTGTGTGTGTGTGTGTGTGTGTGTGTATCGGGGGGTGCATATTAAACAAGGTAATATATGTAAAAATATTGGCACATCAGATGCTGAAAAAATGTTGGTTCATATTTTTTTCAATTCAGTTGAGAATGAAGTCAATTACCTCTCTTCAGGGAGAGAAAAAAGGTATTAGTATTCTAAAAATGGTCCATTAGTGATAATTCCTTACAAAGATTTTTGACTAATGCTTGCAGATGCCACCCAATGGCCGTGCCATTGCAAAGACCCCTTCTGATGGTAAAAGAAAGAGGGAAAGAAAAAAGGAAGGCTTCTGGAGCCCACATTCCTACTCCCTAGGCATTATCCATAACAGCAAATAATGGCTTTGAAATTGCTCTGACTTTGAGCTTGATTTTTAGGATGGTATTTTAGAAGCCTGCAAAGGAACCAGTAGAGCACAGTGGTTGAGTATAAATAGACTTTATTTAGACTACCCATGTTTAAATTCTGGCTCTACCTCTTAGCAAGTAGGTAAATTAGGACAATTTATTTTACCTCTCATTGTGTATTTAAAATGGAAATAAAACACATTTCATATAACTCCTGTGAGTAGTAAATGAAATAACACAAGAAATGTGTTTAACACCTGGCTGGAGCCAAAGCTCCCTAAGTGTTCCTTATGATTTTAGTTTTGATTACCTTCTAAAGGATGAGAGGTGTAGGTGTAGGGGTGTGTGTCTTATTGTGTGGCAATCCTAGAATCCAGCATGGTGCTCCCAAGGAGTTGGCATGAACAGAATGCTTGGCTAACCAGGGTTAGTGCAACAATATTTAATAATAAGCATTAACTGAACTTTTATCTATACCAAAATCTGTTAGGTACTTGTATAATAACTCAAATTGTTTCTCTTCTAAAAGACCAGTTAAGTGAGGATCAGTGAAATCAAGTGATTCTTCCAAGGTCATGCAGGAAACAAAGGGGAGCTTGTGGATTCAGACACAGAACCTCTGAGGCCAACGCCTTCTCCTTCCTGCTCTGCCGCCCAACTCCCAGGGGCAAATGTCAGATTCTCTTCCCGAAAGTGTGTTTGGGCTTCTTTTTTTTTTAAAAAACCAACTCTATTGAGATTTAGTTTACATGCAATAAGACGCACCCGTTTTGAATATATGGTTTGATTGATTTTAACATATGTATACACCATATATCCACCACCAAAATCAAAATATACGTATTTTCATCACCAAAAGACTCCTCATACCTGTCTACAATCCTTCCCCCAACACAGTCCCAAGGAAACACTGATCTGCTTTTTTTCAATCTAGATTGTTTTGTCTTTTCTGGACTTTCCTATAATTGGAAGCATACAGTGTGTACTCTCTTGTACCTGGTTTTGTGCCGGGCTTTGGATACACAGAAAATCTGACATCCTTTGATGTAGTTCTCCCATTCTCTGGCTGCCAGGTGCAGCCTAAGTCATATGGAGGCAAACCTCTGCACCGTCTTGCTCTCAGTATGGGCACCGATCTGTCCCTTCCCTTCCATCAAAGTCTACACTGGCTCTGTCCCTGAGGTTTATTGATACAATGGGCTTCCTGTTTGAAGGCCAACTATATGTAGGAGGAAAATAGCGTCATATTTCCTAATTCTCCTTTTGTGCTGCTAGGGTCAGGACAGAGTTACCCTTTTGTTAAACTGAGATATACTCACAAGACAGTAGAACCTCTGAGTGTTTGTCCTAAAGGCCAGCAGGGAACAGGACCTAGACCCCAACCCCAAGAGCAGCACACAGGACATGACCAGGGCTCTGGAGTTCTCCATAACTTAACTTTTCTGAGCCTCCGTTTATTCATCTGTGAAATGAAGAGCCTGAAAAGATTGTCTTTAAGGGTAGCATGCTCTCTCCTGCCTGTTCTAAGTGGCTTCTCACCCTTGGCTACTTTATTTCCCTGATTTTCTACAGACATGAAATGAAAAGTGGAAATCAGGATGAAAAATGATTGGGAAAAAAACGCAGTTTATGTAATGACAATAGTGCAAATAAATGTGTTGGCAGAATTTAATCCCATGGAGAAATTGAAATAGGATTAGGGATATGAGTGCAGTTGCCGAATGCAATGGCTCAGACATGATGCTTTATTTCTCAGACTCCTGGGAAAATGACACCCACACTTGTGCTCCCTTGTTTTTGCCTCCAGCTGTGTTGTCAGTGCCTGGGCCTGGGTCTCGGAGGGCATGAAGTCGGCAGCGGACCTGCATCAGTGAGTACCCACACGCTGGCCTTGCTCCAGCCCTAAAGGGAGTCATAAATATTTAAAGTGGATATGCTACAAATACTCCACTGCAAACTTGCACTGAGTAGATAATGCCTAACACACCATTTTATTTCCCCAGAAAATAATTCGGAAAGTAGATATAAATCCTAATACTAGGCTTGTGTGTCTTTCATGTTATATTTCCAGAAAACTTGGCAAAGCAATTGAGTTGGAAGCAGTAAAACCAACTCATCAAGTCCTGAGTGCACATGAAAAGAAGAGAAAATCAGTGAGTCAAAATCTTTCTTTTCTCCCTGTTAAAGCAAGATTTCTGTCTTTGGCTCAAGAAATAAAAGGTGATCTAAAGGTGCTCCTACGTTTCAGGAATTTATCATAAAAATAAACACAAACCCAAAGATTTATGTACGAGGATGTTTGTTAAAGCATTGTTTATAGTAGTGAATAAATGGAAACTTCTTCATCATCCAAAAATAAATTACAATGAATTCAAGCAACGGAATACTATGCAACCATTAAAAATCTTATTGCAGCAGAATTTAATGACATGGGGATGTAGTGCTAAATTAAAAAACAAGCTGAGAAAATCTAACAATATAACTGCAGTTTTGTAAAATAAATGTGTGAATATATGCATAGAAAAAAACCTGGAAGCACCTCCCCAGAATGTTGATAAGAATTATCTCTAGATAGTGGAATTAGAGGTTATTTTTATTTCATTTGTTTGTACTTTTTTGTATTTACATTGTTACACCATTTGTAAATAGAATTATAAACGCAATTTTTAAAAGGAAATGCTTCTCTATACTTATAACCTTGGAATTAGGTAAAAGAAATACTAGGTATAATCATCAAATAGCCTTAAAATTGAAGAAAAATAACTAAACAATTCTTTCAGGGCACCTGGTCCTCTTGTATGGCGTATTCTCTGGTCTGTCTGTGTACTTTTCCTTCCAGAACAATTTCATTTGTGTTCCGTTTTCTTTTTATTTGCGTGTAATACAGTCAGTAAGCACTTTAAAATATATTTTCAGGCAACATGAAGAGGTATTTAATAAACACTGCTTAGCTCTGATAGGGATGGGGTCATGGTCATTATCTGTGTCAATGACAGGTACAGGTGAGAAGTTCAGAGCAGTAATAGGAGGTATTTGAGAAGGGCAGGGGCAGTGGCTAAGGGGAGTTTCAAGTGATCACAGCCAGATAAAGCAGGTCTTAAGGGTGGTAAGTCCATAGGATGAGGGGATTTGTGAAAGCCCTGATGGAAGAGAAATGATACCAAAAAAAATTTATTCAAACGTATGAAACTGAGTCAGGAAATGGAATAGATGTTTAGTGGGCATCCATGTATTTTTACCAGAATGGATGTTCTCCTTAGGGCTAGGGTGATGGGGGAAGTTTACAGGAATTACTAGAAAGTAATATAATCTTCTGCCTTTGCAAACCAACTTAATAAAAGCCAAACACTAGTCTATACTTCATTAATAACAAAATATTTTCATACCACATAATAATATGATAATCACTAGAATTTCCTTAGTACTTACTAAATTAGGCACAGTGCTATGATCACAGTGCTTTAGATAATTAATGTCATGGTCGCCTCAGAATGCTGGTCCAGCTTATAATCTTCTTTTTAGCATCTGCCCCTCTCTGTTGCACCCCTATCACCCTGCCACATTTTCTCACAAAAAAGTCGAATTTTTTAAAGTGAACTTGTTCCATATTTCGGCAACATAGAGTCAAAAGTGACATAGTGCATAAAATTATTTTAATTGTATTTGTTGTGCTAAACCACATATTCCAAATTTAATGAACTGAAAAAAAAAAAGGACAGTGTTGCTAGATCTCAGAGTGGTTGAGTAATGGCTGATCTGTGGGTTTTGAAGAAAGGTCTATGGTTCAGGAGAAAAGGTTCTGCACTAACTTAAGTCTGATCTCCTCAGGAGGTTGCCTAGTTCCATTTTCATCATTTACTGCCCCATTGGCTATTTTAAAGTAGGAGAAAAAGTTAATTATGATTAATAATTCAATCTTTTTGAAATTACAGCAATATTCACTTTAGAGGCAATAAGACAGTAAAATTAGCACTGCTAGGACTTCTACTGAATCTCACGGTATTAAAATTTGGGTCACATGGAATAATGCTGAAGAGGAAGTAATGGGACTGGAAGTGATACCAAACTATGCAAGATACTCCTCCACACAGATTGTACCCATTTATATTGTTTCTACAGAGTTATATATTAAAAATAATTATCTTACCAAATGCATTTAGGGTAAATCTTGTGAAGAGATTCTTGACCTGAGGAAAAGAGACTTGACTACTTTTCTCAGGAAATATGTCCTCTATAGGATTTTAAAATTCCACTTAATTGTGCTACTAATTGTACCAGAATTAATAAGCCAGCACTGTGACTCAGCAAGAAGACAGCAAAAAAAATTTTTTTTTCTTTTTTTCCCTTCGATAGCTTGATAATGAAGTTGAAAAGACAGCAAATCTTGTCATTAGCAACTGGAATCATCAAATTAAGGCAAGTATACACAAATATCATTTGTGTAAACCCAATTTTCAGGATTGAAGCTTTTGGCTTTTGTACAAATGTGATCGTGTGTTTTAGTGTCAGTATTTCTAAGTGCTAACTGAAAAGCAAAATGTTTTCTCGTCTGAGTTATTATATAGATATATCTTTCAACTAAATCAATAGAGGAGCAGAACTCTAAATATGACTTTTATTTATAACTAACATGTGGTGTTTATTGTATGTCAAGTGCTATATATTTATGTGTTGAATCATCACAAAAACCAACCAATGTGGTATATGACCTTGTGTTGTCCCATTTTATAGATGAGTGGGGAAGCAGAGACACAGAGGTTAATAATTGCTTAATGTTACAAAGCTGGTTAATGGTTGAACCAAGAATTATTCCAAGTCACTGGGCTCCAAGGTCACTGCCCTTAAGCATTACCTACACTGACTGCCTCTCTGTATAATTTGAAACTTAGGGCAAGATATGAATACTGAGTTTTGGTTTTATCTTTTATAAGAGCATTTGTGATCTCTGTCTCACCAGTGAGAGGAGCACAGTGACGGGTGGGTAAAGATGTGTAAAGGGGGATCCCTGTATTGGTTTCACAAGTATGTACGGCCCATTCCTTGTGCACCACACTGTACTAAGACATGGTTCTTGTTTCCATGTAATTTAAAATTTAGTTGGCTAGATAACATGTGTGCAGGAAAGAGTGAGTGACTTCTAAGGAGAGGAATTATGATCTGGTGTGAAAATTTAGAGCATATCATTACAGGGTCTTAAGCAGAGATAATCACAGGTGGTGCCTATATATATATATGATTATTCTAGAACAATCCAGTTTAGGAGGAATTCATTTCGAGTAGGAAGGACTAGAAGCCAGTGGAGAGGGAATCTGCTCGGAAAACCCAGTGATTCCCTTTGAGGGGACTTGTGCTACCAAAGTTGAAATTCTCTCTTTCATCTCCAAAGGGTTGGTGCCCAAAGAGAACTTTCTTTCCCAAGTAGATGGCCATGAGTGCAAAAAAAGCGGAGACACCCTCAGAAACAGGCGGCCGCATCTCAGCCCTCAGTGTTGCCTCTGAAGCTCCTGCTGGAACCAAGGACCCCATAAGACAAGGACATTAATCAGAAATGTTTGAGATAAATGAATTTCTATACCCATAATAACAGTCCTGGTAAAGGGATGCTCACAAGAATCACTTTTATAGTGAATATTTAAAGGTCCCATAAACAAGGGTCCAGTCGTTTGTTTTCAGTTTTGCTCTTGATTTTATGAGGTTTCTTAAATAGAATTTGTTTTTAAAAATACATTCTGTAAATATTCAGCTTTCACAGGAAATGCAATACAATGGACCAAAAGAGAAACTGCTCAGTAACTGCTGCTGCTTTCAGGAACAAAAAAAAAATCTTTTTTTATTTCCCAGTTTCCATCAAGTAATTTTTCTAAATAGAACGATTTTATTTTTTATGAAGATTGACAGAGAAATTAGAGAACATAAAATGCTTGCACTGTAATAGCTTTCTCTCCAGTTACAATTCAAGGTATTCAGCATGTCAGTAATGCGGTGTAGTCTGTTTTGGAGACTCGAATGAAGAGCCTTAAAGAACCAAATGCTCCTGGCTCCTACTCTCATTTATCAGCAGGCATGTGACTGACAGAAGGTGGAGAGGAGGGTCTCTGAGCTTCTTGTTCCTTGAAATCCATTTTGTAGAGGTTTCATATGTTTAGAGACCTTCAGAAGGCTTTGCCTCTGACTTCCTAGGGAAAGAAAGACCTGGACTTTTCCCTTCATTGTCTGGTTTTACAGTCATTGCAACTTGAGGTGAAAAACCATACCATCTTCCAATCAACCCAGTTCCTGAATAGGCTAAATCCAACTCAAACCAACTTCTGTTGGTTTTATCTCTGGAGCATCCTGTTCTGCCAAGCTGGGACTGTATAGGGAATGACGGATCACCCACATCATAACCCAGGCCAAGGCTGGAGGCATCAACAGAGTAAGGGACTTTGAATGCTGCTTCCTTCCTGACCCCTCCCTCCGCCTGCCCATCACAAATGCAGGGTAGTTCACGAGATGCCAGGCAGATGCCCAGCTCTCAAGCCCAGGCATCAGGGAGCAAAATTGTTCTTTTGCTCTAAGTTTTAAGAGAGCATCTTAAAATGACCTCAATTGTGGCCAGGCAGATTTAAAAGAATGATGCCAGCAGTCTTCCATGTTTGTTGTGATTTTTTTGGCGGGGGTACGGGGGGTGGTAAAGCCATTGCCTTCCATTATGCTAGCTAGAACAATGTTTTGGAAACTCGCAAGCCTTCGGTGATTTAACAAAATGTATAACCCTCTTGAATGAACTCAGTGTAATGAAAAAAATACACAGTGGTTCTCAGGGCAAAATGTTAGCCACTGTGATATTTTAGGCAGATTTTGAGGTGAGGGCAGAAATGAAGAACTAAACATACACAATCATTCAAGCTAGCACGTGAACATGACTTGTTCCAGAACAGAAGAGTTTTTCTCTTGATATCAGTTTCTGATCCTTTTTTGCTTTTTTTGTATGTTTTTGACTCTAGGCCAAGAAGAAATTGATGGTTAGTACCAAGAAGCATGAAGCGCTTTTCCATCTTGTAGAAAGCTCCAAGCAAATTACGACCGAGAAGGAGAAGCAGAAGGTAACCTCTCATGGCCGGCTGAGTGCATATGGCTTAGAGATGGATGGGCTTCCTGCCCTTAGCTATGAACACAGGAGAAGTGGCTGATTCCCCCTCTGTGCGGGGTCTCTGCAGGGCTGTAGTGTGGCAGAATATGAGAAGGATCCTAAGTTATTCCTGGTCTCCATATATATATATTTTTTAAAGATCTTTTCCAAAACGATATTTATTTATTTTGGCTGCTCTGGGTCTTAGTTGTGGCACGCAGGATCTTCCTGGTGGCATGCGGGCTCATAGTTGCGGCATGTGGGCTTCTTAGTTGCAACATGCAGACTCTTAGTTGCGGCATGTGAACTCTTAGTTGCTGCATGCATGCGGGATCTAGTTCCCTGACCAGGGATCGAACCCGGGCCCGCTGCATTGGGAGCTCAGAGTTTTACCCACTGGACCACCAGGGAAGTCCCAGTCCTCATATATTTTCAGAAGGTATTATTGACAGATGACAAATTAAACCAGTGGTGTCCAATATATATATATTTTTAAATTATCTACTGTGTGCTGGGCACTATGCTAAGTTCTTTTTTTTTTTCTTTTTTATTAATTAATTATTTTGGGCTGTGTTGGGTCTTCGTTTCTGTGCGAGGGCTTTCTCTAATTGTGGCAAGCGGGGGCCACTCTTCATCGCGATGCGCGGGCCTCGCTATTGCGGCCTCTCTTGTTGCAGAGCACAGGCTCCAGACGCGCAGGCTCAGTAGCTGTGGTTCACAGGCCTAGTTGCTCCGCGGCATGTGGGATCTTCCCAGACCAGGGCGTGAACCCGTGTCCCCTGCATTAGCAGGCAGATTCTCAACCACTGCGCCACCAGGGAAGCCCCTCCAATATTTTTGATAAGGAGCCCGATTAAACACCTCTCAGCTCACACCCCAAATAAGTAAAAAATATATACACATAGCATAATGAATTATATAATGTACTTTACCTATCTTGTATATTATATAGAATACTTTTTATATTAAACTAATGTTATGAACATTATACAACATAAAAAAGTAGAAATATTTGAAGGATGTGGTAAAAATGAAATAATATTTTCAGTGATTAGCTAATCATGATGTCTTCATATAGTGATTAAGGGACATATACAGACAAAATATACATGTGGGGCAAGGCTCACCCTTACCCATAGTAAATATAAATTTGTATTTCTAGTATGTCTTCTTGATAATGTCAGTTTCTTGGTCAACTTCTCATCAGCTCTCACTAGATCATGCCAGTTTTTGCCTTTTCATGTGGGTGATGATGCACCTGTAATCGGGAGTGGGAGAAAGCGTCAGCTCTGGCGTTTTCCTGTGGCTTTCTTGTGCTTGCATTGTTTGTATTAACATCAATCTACAGCTTTGTAGCAGACATCTTTTTAAGGCATGTGTTGATTTTGTGTGTGTTAATCTAATTAAAGTGGATAATAAATCTGTAAATCCGTATGATCCAGACTCCTGCCGATGGGCACATGTCCCAGGATGTTGAGAGTGAAAGCATTTGTGGGACCCACATCAGCTTCTCATGTTATAAAACTCCCATTCTCCCTCCAGAACACTTCAGAATCCTCAACTGTCCACACATGGGCACCAATATCAATTCATATATTGAATAAGAGTAAGCTTGAACACTCTTTTTAGGCAAAAATGAACACAACTAATATTGGAGTATTAGATTATCTTGGACACCCCTTATGGTATGTGCCCCAGATTGGAAACCTTTGAAATAGTCAATATCTTCCCCCAGAGATGGAGTCCCCCTAAGGAAGTGCAGGCAGCACCACTGCAACCCAAAACATTCTTAAAAGAAAAAGAGAATTGTCATTGCCAAGTAACTCTGTTATTTCATCTGAGGAAACTATCAGTTGAATAACTTAGATTCATTGTTAGCAAGATATTACAAGGTTCTTGTGTCAGTCTTCACAGTTTGAAATGATCATAACAGGTACTGAATAATGAGACAGCTTCCGAAGAGGAGGCAAAACCAAAGTAAGTTAAAAACCTAAGCCCCAGGACCTCGTTGTAGGCATTTGGAGCCCTCATTAGAAGCTATTCTTTATTGATGTCAAGGAATGAAAAAGGCAAAAGCATGGGCAGCTAAGTGGTAAATTTTTGCTTCCGTCCCTCATTAGCAGCCTCCCTGGGAGGCGGAAGTTCATGATCCTCCCCTGCCCTCCTCCACCTGGTCCTGTCAACCATAGCCCTTGGCTGTCATTACAACACAGACCCCTACCATCGTCATCACTTTATCTGGTAGCTTTCTCTTTTTTAGTCCTAAAGCTCAACGCCTAAGGCGGCATTCATTTTTGCATCTCACACAGACGTGCCCATGATCTCCCACTTGAGCCGGGCTGGTTCGGTGCTGCTCAGCAATCCTTCCTGTTTTCCTGCTCAGCAATCCTTGTTCTCACCAGGAGCTTATCTACATCTCCATTCTTCTCGCTCCTCCATCCTCACCACCCACTCTCAGCAGACCATCTTGCCTCCAGCGTCACAGAGTAAATAGAAGTCAGTACAGCCACCTCCCTACTGAAGTCCTATGTGCAATGCGACAGGCCAGTTCTTCATCCTGTGCTCTGATTCCCATCCCAGCCTCCTCTCAGAGGCCCTTCCCTGGATTATTCCCTTCTCTCCTGTATCTCTAAGGGTTGCTTCCCATCAGCCTTTTCAACTTCCCTCTATCTTGGGAGAGTAGGAAGAATCAGGGAGACACCCTTTGTCTCCCTGATATTCCTATTCCTGCTCCTCTCCAGATATCATCATCTCTTTCTTTTTACAATAAGATTTATTGGAAGGGTTATCTGTGCTCTGTCTCCACTTCATCTCCCATTCACTCCTCAAACCACTGACCAAGCTTTCCCCACCAATTCGCTAGAAATGTTCTTACCATTGAATACGTGGTCCTTGTTGCTAAAGCTAATGGGTGCTTTCCAGTTCTGACTTTATTTAATTTCTTAGAAGCATTAAGCATCATTGACTTTCCCCTTCTAGAAACATTCTCTTCTTTTAACTACAACGCCATCTTACTCTTTTGGTTTTCCTTTCTGTCAATTTTTTCTTAAGCTCCTTTATGGACTTCCCTCGTTCTGCCTGAACTTTCTATGTTGTTGTGCCTGATGATTTCTCTCCTGGGCCTCATTCTGTTTTATTCGGCATCATATCTCCAGTGTCCCACACAGTACTCTCAATATCAAGTGTTCAATACATAGCACGTACTCAACAAATATACTCTCAAGGCTTTGGCTACCATGTCTCTGCTGACAATACCCAAACTTATATCTCCAGCCCAAACCAGTCTCTGAACTGCTCTCTGGCATCTCAAACTCAATATCCAAAATCAGAACCATCACTTCCCTCTACCAAAAATATTTTTTATTCCTCTGTTTTTTATATATTTGAATATCACCATCTACCATATCCTCCCAATTCTAAGTCCTAAACCAAATACTTCCTGAATTTATCTACTTATATCTATCCCCACGGCCACTACTCTCTCCCAGGCCACCATCACCACTGCTTGGGTTACTCCAACTGACAAATTGGTGTCTTGGCTTTCAGTGTTTCCTCTCCTTATCCCCCATACACAAGCCAAGCTGACTTTTCTGGAACTCGAATCTGAGCATATTATTCTCCTTTAAAAAACCTTCAAAGGTTTCCAGGTGACCTCAGGATAAAGCACAAACTCTTTTATGTGGCCCTCAAGACCCTCCCTGACTTGGCCCTTGCTTAACTTTTCAGCATTTTCACTTGCTATTATTTCTCTCAAACTGTGTGCTCCAACCTCACCAAAATATTTTTTGGTATCATGTCATGCTATTTTGCCTCACCAATTCCTACTTTCATTTTAGGTTTATTCAGACAGGGATCATTTCTGTGAGCACACACTCTGTGACACCTGAATACTTCTATCATCTTGGGATCTATCAAACAGGATAACAATGGCCTGTGTGGGTTCTTGACTAGAGAGGGAGCCTATCTAGTTCCTTTATCTATTCCCAGTGTCTAGTACATGACACGGTGTGGCAGTCAAGAAATGTTTGATGAATGAATTAATGAATCGATGTTTGTTCCAAGAGAAAGAAAAGAGGAAAGAAAAAGTATTTATCTTTGACAAATTTTAGGAAATTTTCTGAGAAGTTCCTTAAATAAGAATATAAGAGTCTCCATTCTTCTTCTGTATATGTTTGGGGTTATTTGCTGCAAATTTGCTGAGCAGAAACTTCTAGTCAATAGCTATAGAGTGTAGGCTGATGAACGTGAGTGGTGAGAAGAAGCAAGTACAGATCAGGAACCTCCAACTCAAGACTGTAATCTACCAATGATTCCTGTACTCTTATTCTGTAAATCCTTCAGGCCTTGGCATTTCTTACCAGGACAGGTAGAGATTTGTGCAATCAGTCTCCAGATTGACTCTGTTCTCATTGCTGGGCACACTCAGTAAGAATCAAAGAACAATGACTTAGCCAAGTATAGCCATGGTACACACTCAACCCTTTCTCTGTATCATTATCAGGCTAAAATTCACAAGCTCATATCTCTATAGATAAATGGCTCATTACATTTGATACACAAAACCATCCGTGTCCTGGGTAGGTCATACATCAGAGCTGAGGGACAGTTGAATGGCTAGCATATCAACTGGAATAATAAAGTGAGTGGTGTTAATATTCAGCATTTTGGACGAATGTTCTTCACTACTGAAACTTTAGTCAAAATGTCCTTAAACATAAAGAGGAGCATTCTTAAGAACCTTTATCTCTGTCCTTGAAAATCCTAAACTGCTTAAATCACAGGGCTCCTTGGTACTCCTTGGACTGTGGCTTGAGGACCATTTGCATCAGAATCATCTGAGGAGGCAGTGAAAATTCAGATTTCCTGATCCCACTACCGAGCTACTGAATCAGTATTGCTATTGGTGGAACCCTGAAAATCTGCAGTTTTCCAAGAATCTCTGGTCATTCCTAGGCATATTAAAGTCTGAGAATCATTCATGTAAATACAACTTCTTCCTTTCTCAGAGATGTGAAATTATGTGTCTGAGCATTTTGAGAATTCAATTCAAACTACCCTGGTCCAGAGAGTTTTGTATTACTTTGATTTTCACAATCAGGATGGCCAATTTTGGTGACTGGCTAGAAGGGGCTCTTTGTGAAGGAGCGTATCATTGGGGGTCAGGATAACAGGAAAGCATTTGTCAAGCTGTCCATAACTTGCAGTGAACAATGGCATGTATCTCAGGCTCTTTCTTCACTAGTAATAGTAACACTCACTAGTCTTTGAGTGCTATACTAACTGTCAAGCAGTGTGCCCTGTTCCTTACTTGTATCACCTGCTTGATTCCTCAGAGCAACACAGTGAAGTGGGAGCATCGCTGTCCCCGTCACAGAGATGAGAAAACTGTGGCTTTTGAAATTTAAGTAACTCACTCGTAGTCAGAACCAGGACTCTAATGCTGAAGTCTGATTCCAGAGTTATAATGCAGAGTTTAAATAGTGAAAGTGAAGTGAGAGGATGGTCTCCAGGCCTAATGCTAGTTTTATAAATTATCTGATTGTGCAAATCTCTACCTGTCCCGGTAAGAAATGCGGAGGCCTGAAGGATTTACGAAATAAGAGAACGGGAATCATTGGTAGATTACAGTCTTGAGTTGGAGGTTCCTGATCTGTACTTGCTTCTCTGCACCTGTCATTTGACCTCTTCCTTCATCTGATGAAAGTGGGCATATCACATGGTATTTAAGGACCTCCATTTCCTCATGTGAAAAATTGTAGGAATCCTATTGAAAGGCTCTTAGGTTTCCTTTCAGTTCTGACATCCCTGTTTTCTGAGAAAGATCTTTGATTTTGTCATCTCTAGTCACTGTTTATGACTTTAGCTGGGAGATGAGAAACCATCATTGGGATGCATATAATTCTTTCTCCAGAATTACAAAGGGCTTTCATAAATGCGTTCATAAATATGTGGCACTGATGTTTTACCTTAGCTCCTCAATAAACTGAAAAAATCAACTGAGAAGTTGTCAAAAGAAGATGAAAATTACTACCAAAAAAACATGGCCAGCTGTTCTACCAGACTGAAATGGGAGAACACACTGGAAAATTGCTTCCAGGTAAGTTATGCATTCAAGTTTTTTCTTTCTTTCTTTCTTTTTCCAAAGAGCTTTGTGTGGGAGAGAAATCACTGCTCGCATTCTATCTTCTAGGCACCCTTCAAGGGCTATGAGAAAAACACTTAACCTAGATGTCTCCATCCGTCTCATTTTTCTATCTATATCACAACAACAGGAGATAATTATGATTCTTACTGGTATGGCTGCCAGGATTCCTGGTGTAGCGGACGTCTAGCTGGCCTTCGAGATGTGTTAGGTATTGCTGTTACTAAGGACCCTTATCAGAGGCTCTTACTAGGTCTCTCCTTCCTTTTTCTCAGTGTCCTTTTCTCCTGTTAGGGACCTCCTCCACCTTCTCCTTCCACCCCAGCCTGCTTTCAGCAGTCCCAACTTTTATGTTGAAACTATGGAAATTATCTTCTTTGCTTATAAGGTCTTCGTGATGGTGACAAGATGTATATCATTTACCTTTCAAAAGAGCTTCTTTCAACTGAGCTTTAAAAATATTTAAGACTCTAGGTTTTTTAATTAGAATCCAAATCAGGTAGAGAATCTACTACAAGTCAGAATCTCCATAAAAAAAGGAAGGTTCCTTTCATCCTCTTTGTTTCCTGGTTTATTGCTACCACCATGCTGGAGGCCACTGGTATTTCTCCCCCCTCTTCCTTTGAGTTCACACAGTTCCTCTTACTCCCATAAGAGTTCTAAGTTTAAGTTCTAAGCTTATCCTCTTGCTTAGAGCTAGCTTCTGCCCCCTGAGTGCCAAACCAAGCCCTACTAGACCCACTTGAGATACTCCTGTCAAGTCATCCTTGCCTAACTGTAACCAATAAGGATTCCCTTACTTAGTATTTCGTTGGCTTGTACATACTCAGTCTATACCAACAAGTCATTGACTCACATATTACACTATGTATTCCTCATTCTCTGTTGTTTGCAAACAACAGGAGTAAAATGTGATATTCATGAAGACACATAACAAAAGTGGGCTGAACTCAATTAAAATGGAATTTTATTAGAAGTGTGGAAAGCTCAGTGTGGCCAAATAATAATAACGATAATGATAATAATAGCCACTCTATCAAAAGTGACCACAAATCAAATGTTTGGTACTGTTAGTATTTACTAGAGGAATTATTTTAGAAAGCCTTTTGCAATAAATGCAAACAGCCTTAAAAATGTTCACATTATCAACTAGTGTTCCTCATCTGAACCACGGAACACAGAAAATAATGTGAGTGACTGTTTTCTCAGTTCCCCAAGGATGGTAGTGACTAATAGCCTCTAGATGCAGAGAAGCAATGGTAACTCATTGCAGATAACAGATGCCTTAGGACATTAGGGTTTAATTCTCTCCTAGAACCTCGGTTGAAAAACCTAATTTCCTTTCCATAAATCCATCTTGAGGAAGTAGATGAAAAACAAAATACAGATTTCTGTTAAAAATACATTAAAAGTAAAAGGGAAGAAGTAATACAAATGGCCAAAATTAAGGAGATGACTAAATAAATCAATACACTCTACACAAGGCACTATTAATTAAAATGGTGTTTTGGAGACTAGTGGCATTGGAAACTGCTTATGTATAATGTTAAGTGAAAAAACAGGATACCAATTTGAATAATTTGGTTGATAACTAGGAAGATAAAATCATACATACACATACCTCAACAGACTAAAATACATCAAAATGTTAACAGTGGTCATATCTAGGTGGAAGAATTATAAATGATTTTAAAATTTATTTTCTTGTAGCCCTTTATGGCCCCAAGACAATGTCAAGGGTGCTTGTTAAAATTCAGATTCCTGAGTGCCTTCCTAGACGGGGTAAGTCAGAACTTCTGAATGATTTTAGGAAGGGGTCTAGGTGATCTCTAGACGTACTGAAGTTTGAGAGTTCGTGCTATAGAAAAAACAAGGTACTTCTTTGATCAGTTTTATGAAAACAATTTAGATGAAAATGAAGTCATTCCAATCTCCCCGGGTAGTACAAACCGGAAGGTCAGGACAGCAGGAAGTGAAAAGAATGAATGAAGAGTGTGCATCATCACGAAGCCTGGGCCCCAGACAGCCTCTCCATTTACTCTTCCTTGATAACTCTTTGATCCCACTTTCCTCTCATGTGCTATTATGAAAGCACAGGAGGATAATTTGAGGTCCTCCAGAGTATCTTGCTTCTCTGTGACCTATTTTATACAAAAAGAACAAAATAATAGAAAGCAATAATTCATTAAATGAGATACGGATTTCCACTTCCCACAGTGGAATTTGTCTCAGCCTCTCTTCACGAGCAGATATAGAAGATCATCTTAATGATTTCCCTGAAATGAAATTAAAATCTTTTAAATATTGCCATCGCCACCAAGGGACACTGGTTATTCTAGTCTCAGATTGATGCTAGTGGCTCAGCACTTGTCACAGTAAAGAAACAGCTGCCCAGCAGGGATGCAGTGTGTTCCCCAAACCTGGCTTTTGTTTTCTGTCCTGTCCTTTGCTCACGGTGCTAAACTAGAACAGCTGCTTTCTAGATCTTTTCCCATAATATAAAGACTCTTTCTTTTTGATGACTGTCCCACTTGAGGTCTAAGACACTGAGCAGAATTTATTTTACATATTTGTTAGAGGAGGCATATGATTCATGCCCTTTGATGAAGCATTACATTTACTAGGCTACTCTTCTGTGTCTTTAAACCTGTACCTGGGGGACAGAGGGCACATTTAAATGGCTGGTACTTGAGATTTTGGAGAAGGACTCAGGAGACCAAGAGCAGAAACAAAGGTATTTCGTTCCCATTGACTTACAAAAATTATGCAGCTTCTGACTAGACAAAAAAGGTAGCCATGGGGGAACAGAGCTCTAGGCTTCCCGATTCAAATGTCAGGACACTTGGTACAGAATTGAAATCTGCATGTGGTTGACACAGATGTTCACAGTTACTGCCAGCTTCTTACCACTTGCATTTAATAGCAGCATTAAAATGACTATATACTAGTAAACAAACTGTGGTAAGTACAGACAATGGAACATTATTCAGCCTTAAAAAAGAAGGAAATTCTGACACAGGCTACAATGTGCATGAATATTGAAGACTTTATGCTAAGTGAAATAAACCAGACACAAAAAGACAAATATTGTATGATTCCTCTTATAAGAGATACCTAGGGTAGTCAAATTCATGGAAGACAACAAGTAGAATGGTGGCTGCCAGGGGAGATGAGGGGAGAGAGAATGGGGAATTATTGTCAATGGGTACAGAGCTTCAGTTTTGCAAGATGAAAAAAGTTCTGGATATGAGTAGTGGTGATGGTTTCACAATGATGTGAATGGACCTAATGCCACTGAACTGTACACTTAAAACTGGTTAACAGGTAAACTTTATGTAACTATTACACAAATAAATTTCTTGAAAATTTAATGATTATATACCATAGATTAAATAACAGCAGGATGTGAACGCAGTCTACACACAAGGGTATAAAGGAACACCAGGCTGGACAGGCTAGTGGCCCCTGCAGGTGTGCTGAAAGACAGGGTGGGAGAAGCCAGTGGCCTTTGTGATGTCTCCCCACCTCCACCCCACCAAAGGCCTTGAGACACAGTCCGCCCTTCTTACTTCCACGATAATGCCACCCACCAATTTGCCCAAGAAGGCTTTCTTCTTCAGGAAAGACTATTGATGAGTACTCTTTACTGTGTGGGAAGAAGCAGGGTGGGATGGCGGGTATGAAAGGAACCAACCTAGCCTCTGGATAAAGGGGGAAAGCCCAGGCCTTGTCCTCACAGAAACGGGATGAGGCATGTTGTCTTGGACTCTTGCCACCTCTGTCGAAGCCCATGGGCTTCTGGGCACATACCCAGCAGCCTCCTATGGCCCTCACAAGGCTTAGGAATGCCCCCTGCATTTCCACTTGACCCAGCCTTCTTGAACAATGCCTAGTTGCTGAGCGTCCCTGTATTTCCTCAAAACAAACAGTCTGTAGCTCAGCTAGCAGTGAGGGGTAAGAGTCAAATAACTAACTTTTTCTCAAATGTTAATGGCTGACAAGGCAAATGTGACCTCCCTTACTTTATTTACTCTTCCTAGCTAAAAGCCATAAAACTCTAAAAGTGGAATTTTTGTCATCCCGCATAAAACAGGGAGGCTGTGTTGCCACCTTCCAAGAGTGGTCTCTGACCCCCAGGCCTAATTTTAGGTCAGGATGATGAATTGATCAGACTTTAAGCTTCTGCTCTCATCACATAATTTCCTTAAGCAGAGAATTTGCATCTCATCATCGTTGTCCCTGCCGGAAGCGGCAGAATGCCTTGTATGTCCTGCAAACAATTCTAGAAATACTTAGTGTCTGACTGCATTTCCAAGATACAGACGTGGGTTTTACTGGGCTTCATTCTTTTTTTGGAACCCACAGATTCTTTTCGAATGATTCCTTTCTCCCCCTTCTTCGTGAACATCAGGTAACCTGTGGCATCCACCTATGTGCTTTTTGGCCCACAAAAGCCTGGAGAAAGTGTGTGAGTTAAATTGATCCTAACGGAGGATAAAATAAGACAGACATCAAATCACATTCCTGTCCTGGGAAACTACCCCCCTCCACAACGTGCATATAATGTAATCAAGAGGCACAGACAGGACGGCTCACTCAGACTTTCTTCGTTGTGTTTGTGCTTAGTGGGTGACTTCAGTTTTGTATAACAGTGGGCTGATCTAATCTCATTTTTCATCCTTCTCAGAGCATCCTGGAGCTGGAGAAGGAAAGAATTCAACTCTTATGCAATAACTTAAACCAGTACTCACAACATATTTCTGTTTTTGGCCAAACCCTGACCACAGTGAGTAGTAAAGAATTCGCCATCTCTGGTATGCATGGTAAGAACTGGCGGGAAACATGTCCTCTGCAACCTTGTTCTGCTTTCCTCGGCATTGCAGTGCCACACGCAGATCCACTGCGCCATCGGCAAGATAGATGTCGAAAATGATATCCAGGCTCTCGTGGAAGAAACCGCAGTTTCATCTACAGAAAATAAATCTGAGTTCCTATTAACTGATTACTTTGTAAGTATGGGATGGAAGGAAGTTTCATTCATGGGAAACCTTAGTCATATACTGAGGGATTCATTTTGAAAAGAATTGAGAGCAATTGTAAAGGAAACAAAAATATTGACTTTTTCACAGTCCGTATAAATTTAAAAACTGTGTGGTTTACAGACTGGGCAATGCAAACCTGTCTTTGGTATTCTCTGCAAGGGAAGAACTCCAAACAGGGTTTTAGCCTGAATCTTTTTTTTTTTTTTTTTAAGGGAAATATTTTATTTCATTTACTTTTTTAATTTAAAAAATTTTTTTAATTTTATATTGGAACATAGTTGATTAACAACGTTGTGTTAGTTTCAGGTGTACAGCGAAGTGATTCAGTTATACATATACATGTATCTATTCCTTTATAAATTCTTTTCCCATTTAGGTTATTACAGAGTACTGAGCGGAGTTCCCTGTGCTATACAGTAGGTCCTTGTTGGTTATCTATTTTAAATATAGCAGTGTGTACATGTCAATCCCAAACTCCTGATCTGTCCCTCCCCCCAAGACTGAATCTTCACACTCTATAAATACTGTGTATCACATTGGTTTGTCTATTGCTGCATAACAACTTACCCCCAAACTCAACAGCTTGAAGCAAACATTTATTATCTCAGAGTTTCTGTGGGTCAGAAATCCAGGTGTGGGTTAGCTGGGTGCCCGAGTCCCACACAGGGCTGTAATCAAGGTGTCAGCTGGGACTGCAGACATCTCAGTGCTCTACTGGGAGATGATCCGCTTCTAAGCTCACTCACGTGGCTGATGGCAAGCCTCTGGTCCTGGGGAACGGTTTTAGCTGGAGATATCAGTTCCTTGCCGTGTGGGTCTCTCCATCTATGGAGAGCTCACAGCATATCAGCCTGCTTCCCCTGGAACTAGCAATGCAGGAGAGACAGAGCCAGAGTGTCCAAGATGGAAGCATAGTCTTTTATAAGCTAATCTCAGAAGTGACATCTCATCAGATTCTATTTGTTAGAAGCAAGTCAATAAACAGCCCACACTCAAGGGGAAGGGATCACACAGAGGCATGAATCTTAGGAGGTGCAAATTATTTTCTGGTCCTTGCCTTTGAAAAACTTTAACCTAATTAGAGGATTATATCTTTTCTTTTTTCTTCTGGTTTTATTGAGATATAATGAACATACAGCACTGTATGTTTCAGGTGTACAGCACTGTATGTTTCAGGTGTACAGCATAATGATTTGACTTACATACATCATGAAATGATTACACGAGTTTAGTGAACATCCATTCTCATATAGGTAGAACCTTAAAAAAATAGAAAAAAAAACTTTTTCCTTGTGATGAGAACTCTTAGGGTTTACTATCCTAACAGCTTTCATATATAACACACAGCAGTGTTCATTCTATTATCATGCTGTGCGTTACATGCCCAGTACTTACTTATCTTGTAACTGGAAGTTTGTACCTTTTGACCACCTTCATCCAATTCCTCCTCTCCCCAGCGCCCACCTCGGGTAACCACAAATCTGATCTTTTTCTATGAGCTTGTTTGTTTTTGAAGTATAATTGACCTACAACATGATGTTAGTTCCTGGACCACAATACAGTGATTCGATATTTCTATACATTACAAAATGATCACCATGATAAAGTTAGTTGTTATCTGTAACCCTACAAAGTTATCACATTATTATTGACTAATATTCCCCACAATGTACATTTCATACCTATGATTCATTTATTGTGTAACTGAAAGTTTGTACCTCTTAAATCTCTCTCACCTATTTCTTTCTTCCTCTACCCTCTCCCCGTCAACCACCTGTTTGTTCTCTATACCTATGATTCTGTTTTTGTTTAGTTGTGTTTGTTCCTTTGTTTTTTTAGATTCCACTGTAAGTGAAATCATGCAGTATTTGTTTTTCTCTGTCTGGCTTATTTCATTTAGAATAATACCTTCTAGGTCCATCCATGTTGTCACAAATGGCAAGATTTCATTCTTTTTTGTGGCTGAGTAATATTCCATTATATATATGACAAATCTTCTTTATCCATTCATCTATTGATGGGAACTTAGGTTGCTTCAGTATCTTGGCTATTGTAAGTAATGCTGCAATGAACACTGGGGTGCATATATCTTTTCAAATTAATGTTTTTGCTTTCGTCAGGTATATACCCAGGAGTAGAACTGCTGGATTGTATGGTAGTTTCCACCAACAGTGTACCACAGTTCCCTTTTCCCCATATCCTCACCAACACTTATTTGTTGTCTTTTTAATGATGGCCGTTCTGACAGGTGTGAGGTGATAGCTCACTGTGGTTCTGATTTGCATTTCCCTGATGATTAGTAATGTTGAGCCTCTTTTCATGTGCCTGTTAGCCATGTGTACGTCTTCTCTGGAAAAATGTCTATTCAGGTCCTCTGCCCAGTTTTTAATTGGGTTGTTTGGTTTTTTTGATGTTGAGTTGTATGAGTTCCTTGTATATTTTGGATATTAACCCCTTGTCAGATAAATCATTTGCAAATTTCTTCTCCCATTCAGTAGGTAGCCTTTTCGTTTAGTTGGAAGTTTCATTTGTGTTTTGTTGACGTTTCTTCCACTGTGCAAAAGTTTTTAGTTTGATGTAGTCTCATTTGTTTATTTTTGCTTTTGTTCCCCTTGCCTGAGACATATTCAAAACAAATATTGTTAAGACCAGTGTCAAAGAATGTTCTGCCTGTGTTTTCTTCTAGAAGTTTTATGGTTTCAAGTCTTACATTTAAGTTTTTAATCCATTTTGAGTTTATTTTATTAATTTTTTATTGAAGTATAGTTGATATATAATGTGTTAATTACTGCTATAAAGCAAAGTGATTCAGTTATACATATATATATATATATATATATATATTCTTTCTTTATGTTCTTTTCCATTATGGTTTATCATAGGATATTGAATATAGTCCTCTGTGCTATACAGTAGGACCTTGTTGTTTATCTAGTCTATATATAAAAGCTGACATCTGCTAACCCAAACTCCCACTCCATCCCTTCCCCATCCCCCTTCCCCTCGGCAACCACCAGTCTGTTTTCTATGTCCATAATTCTGGTTTTGTTGTTGTTGTTGTCAGTGTTTTTATTTTCTTCCAGTTTTTTCAATATATTTTTTTTACATCTTTATTGGAGTATAATTGCTTTACAATGGTATGTTAGTTTCTGCTTTATAACAAAGTGAATCAGTTATACGTATACATATGTTCCCATATCTCTTCCCTCTTGCGTCTCCCTCCCTCCAACCCTCCCTATCCCACCCCTCTAGGTGGTCACAAAGCACCGAGCTGATCTCCCTGTGCTATGCGGCTGCTTCCCACTAGCTATCTATTTTACGTTTCTGTTTTGTAGATAGGTTTATTTGTGTCATATTTTAGATTCCACATATAAGTGATATCATATGGTATTTGTCTTTCTCTTTCTGACTTACTTCACTTATTATGATAGTCTCTAGTTGCATCCATGTTGCTGCAAATGGCATTTTTCTGTTCTTTTTATGGTGAGTAGTATATACATTGTATATATGTACCACGTATTCTTTATCCATTTGTCTGTCAGTGGACATTTAGGTTGTTTCCATGTCTTGGCTATTGTGAATAGTGCTGCTGTGAACATAAGGGCGCATGTATCTTTTTGAATTACAGTTTTGTCTGGATATATGCCCAGGAGTGGGATTGCTGGATTATATGGTAATTCTATTTTTAGTTTTCTGAGGAAACTCTATACTGTTTTCCACAGTGGCTGCACCAACTTAACATTCCCACCAACAGTGTATGAGAGTTCCCTTTTCTCCACACCCTCTCCAGCATTTGTTATTTGTAGACTTTTTAATGATGGCCGTTCTGACTGGTGTGAGGTGATACCTCATTTTAGTTTTGATTTGTGTTTCTCTGATAATTAGTGATGTTGAGCATCCTTTCTTGTGCCTGTTGGCCATCTATATGTCTTCTTTGGAGAAATGTCTCTTTAGGTCTCCTGCCCATTTTTGGATTGGGTTTTTTGTTTTCTTGTTGTTGAGTTGTATGAGCTGCTTGTATATTTTGGAAATTAAGCCCTTGTCGTTCGCATCTTTTGCAAATATTTTCTCCCATTCTGTAGGTTGTTTCTTCGTTTTGTTTATGCTTTCCTTTGCTGTGAAAAAGCTTGTAAGTTTGACTAGTTCTCATTTGTTTATTTTTGTTTTTATTTCTATTGCCTTGGGAGACTGACCTAAGAAAACATTGGTACAATTTATGTCGGAGAATGTTTTGCCTGTGTTCTCTTCTAGGAGTTTTATGGTGTTATGTCTTATGTTTAAGTCTTTAAGCCATTTTGAGTTTATTTTTATATATGGTGAGAGAAAGTAATCCAGTTTGATTCTTTTGCATGTAGGTATCCAGTTTTCCCAGCACCATTTTTTTTTTTTTTTTTTTTTGTGGTACGCGGGCCTGTTCCTGTTGTGGCCTCTCCCGTTGCGGGGCACAGGCTCCAGATGCGCAGGCGCAGCGGCCATGGCTCACGGGCCCAGCCGCTCCGCGGCATGTGGGATCCTCCCGGACCAGGGCACGAACCCGCGTCCCCTGCATCGGCAGGCGGACCTCCAACCACTGTGCCACCAGGGAAGCCCCCAACACCATTTTTTGAAGAGGCTTTTTCTCATTGTATATTCTTCCTCCTTTGTCATAAATTAATTGCCATTCCAGAGGCTTATTTTGAGGACATTTAGGTGATTACTATCACATGACCTTCCTTGCTAAAAATTGATCAGTGTCCCTGGTCAGAGCCCAGACATCTTGCCTGTTTGCTCTCTTGGGCTAAATTCTTTATCTTCTTGGGTCAGGTCATGCCTCAAAGATTTTGTCCTTCACTCCCCTCTTGTTAGTTTTAATTGTAGTGTTCTAGATGCTGATCGTTAATTACCAAAATCTGCAGGAAAAACTCCTGGTTGCTCCTTCGTGGGCCCTCTGCTGTATTTCACTCAACTTCCAAGGTCCAGTCTGGGAGGCTCACCCCTCTCTCTGTGTAAAACTGGGCCACTGGTCATGTCCTCCTATAAAAGTATAGCCAAAACCAACATCCCAGGACCCCCACTCAGGGAACAAGAGATGAGGGGAGAGGGGAAGGCAGTTAGATCTGACACAATAATGAATTCTGACCGGCTTTCTCCTTCCCACCATCTAAACAGCAATAAGTGGCTGGCTGTTTCTTTAATTGAATCTTTTTTTCCGACCCTGGCAAAGGCAAAGCAAATTAGCAATAGCAATGTCTGTTAAAGCGGAAACAAAGGTAGAGATGGAAGTAGAAAGGAAGATTTGATTACATGGGGAAAGTACTTTTTTTTTTTTTCTTCCAAACCGTGTAGGTGATCACTGAGATGGGAAAATGTACAATAAAATATATCTATTACTTTCTTGTAAAAATGCCTCTATCAGCTAACCTGTCAATAAAATAAGGGTCATTCTCCTTGAAAATTTGACTAAGCTCCTATTGAAATGTAAAGAAGTAGCCACAATGGTTTATCTTATTTGATGAGCCCATGGGAATTTTTGGTTTCTATGCAATTTCAGTGCAGCAGAACTAACGACTATGTATCTGTTGTCTAAGAGAATGGACTGTATCTCCAAATGGATGAATAGGATTGTCCTAATATTCTTAAAGCAAAACACCTCCAAAATCTGACTTTATGGTCATTGGCAATAAGTGTAGACTGGCTTTTATAGAGTGCTATGAAATCTACATGGACGAGGGTAAGACAGGAGAACTATCTGAATGTGAATATTGGAGGGCTGGTGATCAGTGTGAAAAATATTTGTAAGGTTACTGTAAAGGCCATGTTCAAAAGATTGTATCTGCAGTTTAAATGCCTCCTTGGGTTTGATCTTCTTTCTGACAAATTTTTGAAAGAGAAGGACAAATTTAAGAAAGTTAACGACGGCAGTTTAATCTATCTCAAGTTGATCCAGTAGTGATCTATCCGTGGAAATACATTTGTGAACAATATAGGCATCCCCAGAGAAACCAAATGAAGTCTTGGACTGGCATGAGAGTCAGATTATGAGGTGCATTCCTCCAGCAAGGAAGGACTGAGGGTTGGACTGAAGCACCCTTGCAGTTCACTCGGAGCTCACCTGCAGAGGTAACGTCAGCTTGGGCCTCAGCCTCAGGCAGACATGTGAAGGAGTGGACTCTGGTGGAGAATTGGGAGTCACGGGAGTTGGGTTTCATCAGTAATTACTTACTAGCTGTTTCGTCTTGGGCCTTCATTTATTTCTGAGTGTCACAGGTAAAATGGGGAAAATAAAACCAATCTCGTCGAGTTGTTATAAGAATCACAAAGAGTCACATGTAATAAAGGATATAGAGAAAATTTTTATAATATATAATACACAGTATGTATATTAAATATTTTAGTCTCTACATTATATTTTTGTAAAGGCTGTTATTCTCTTTGCTCTAAATCTTCTCTTCTCTTTCTTCAGGACAGTCTATCTAAAGCTAATCTCTCCACCAATATTCAGGGTCCTCGCTTTTCTCCTTCCTACCAGATAAGTCCTGACTCCTGCACTTCCATCTTCAGTCATCAGTTTTCCCTTTCTCCAAGGTTTCTGTCCATCTACTGCACTTATGTGCAGCCACCTCCCAACCTGACCCTAACATCCTTTTTCTTTTTTCACATAAAGGTTTTAATCATTTTAAGTTGCATGTCACTGTAGGATATTTGCTTTGACTTGTTACTAGGCATTTAAACTGTGTCCTAACATCCTTTTTTTTCTTTCAACTCTGGAAATAATGTATATGAAAGCTCTGCTATTGTTAATGGTTCTCATAACCTACATGATAAAATCCCTACTTCAGCCTGAAAATCTGACCTAAACTACTTAGACAATTTTTTCTTCCACTACATTTGCTCAAGCAACTGGTCTGTTTATTGTTCCCCATACATTTCACACAACTCTCCCTCTGTCCTTTGCTTGTGCCATTTCTCCTGCAAGGAGTACCCTTTGCCCTCCTACCCCTCAACTAAAATGTGCTGGTTAAGTCAGCTAGTCTCCTTGAAGCTTTCATGCCCCTTCCCTTGGTGAGCCACATGCTCCTATGAAATAGCCATAGTAACGTTCACCCTCCAAGAATAATTTTTATCTATTAAAGAAAGTGCTCAGCTATGCACTTACAAGTTGTAAACGAGGAGCTGTCTTCTTATTCAGTAGGTCTAGAAAAGGTACACCAATCTGTAGAAAACCAGAGGTTACCCTGCTTTTATTTTTTTTTTCTTTTTTCTTCCATCAAGTTAAAATTGAATACAGTCAGTGAAAGTCTCAGTGCAACTAGGAGTAGCAACTCTTACTTTTTTCCCTTTAAATTGTTAAACTTCCTTTTTTTTTTCCTAAAGGAAGAAGATCCTAAAAATGCAATGAGTAAAGAGCGACAGGCATCTTCAATAAAGTCAAAACTGTTGAGACTGCAAAAAGATATTGAAAAAGCCTCGCGAGACCAGGAAGGTGTGTAATTACCTCTTTGACTGGCCTGGTAAGGGAAGTATTCTACTCGGAGGTTTCATCCAGAGTTAGGGTGATTCTGCTTTTGCTGACTGGTGCAGAGATCATCTCATTTAAAAGACCAGATATAAAACCTAATTTGTGTGAATAAAGAACAATGAAAAAGGAGAGAGCAAAAAAAATTGAAAATGACATTCTGGTCTGTGAGATCTATACAAGTACTATACCACCATTTCCAGAAGTGTAGCATTTTACAGTGTTCCTGAAATTGCCTGATATGAGGGACAATTTGTTTGGTTTAAAACACAGTAAACCTCCTGTGTACAAGGCTTTTCATTTCCTTGTGTTTATTTATTTATTTCCCCCATATTATTTTATTTTATTCTATTAGGGGGTGCTAATAGGTTGTTTTTAAATTTTTTAAATTTATATAAATTTTTTTAATTGAAGTGTAATTGACGTACAACACTACATTAGTTCTAGGTGCACAACATAATGATTCAGTATTTCTATACATTACAGAATGATCACCACTTGTTTGTTTCTTTTTAAACTAACTTCCTGAATGATGTGAAAGTCATTCAAATTAAATCCTATACTTAGACGTTAGGTATGTGAGAACGTGAAGCAGCTCTAAAGTGTTACAGGTAATAAAAACAACTCTACTTTTATGATTCTGATATGTAGAGCTTATTTTATGTGGACCAGAGAACCCTGTTGCAATGTAATACTTGATAGGAAATCCAAGAGAGCAAAATGTTTAGAAATGTAAATATCAGTGGAGGAGAGCTTAACATGGGGGTAAATGTTAGGAATCCACCGTGGAATGGGTCAACAAGGAGGATGCAAACTCTCATCTTGAAAAATAACAATCAAGACTCCTTAAGCACCTGCATTTCTCAAATCCCATTAAATGAAGGCACAGGTCACCCATTCTGTAAAATTTAGTAACAACTACACACAGAAACAGGCCCAGCCATTTGGGAAATGCTCCCGGCATCACTTCTGGGCTCAGGCTCCCTCCAAGTATAACCACCTGCCAGTTGTGTCCCACTAGGACCAGAGGAACAGAGACTGACAGCCTTATTTCACTTTCAGGCCTGGAACGAATGCTGAAAGCATACTCCAGCCACCCCTGCTTCTCAGACACAGAGAGCCAAAAAAGCACAGCAGCCTTAATGGACGAGGTAAACATTTGCAGAATGCCATTTCCTAGATTTAATGATGAAGGAGCTATTTTGGGAATGCTTGTTTTCTGGACCATTTGACCTCTGTTTGCCTTTCCTTTCTCATGACATAGAACAGTCTAGTCAGAGAGCTTGTACACTCAGCTCCTTGACAAGTGGTTTGAGGAATCTGGAAAAATCCAGCTACTTAAAAATGTTTGATTTAGTGTCCTCCCAGGGGGAAAAAAAACGTGCCTAAAATAGAATTCCCCCAAATAGAATCATTCAAGTAAGGTCTGAAGACCATGTGTACTTTACTCCAGTTAACAGATGTGACCAAAAACACAGCGTCTGCATTCAGAGAGGCCTGCATCTAGCTCTGCCTTTTACAGGGACCTGGGACAAGTTTAGTTTTCTCATCTTTAAAGAGGGATGTTGCTACCTAAGGGGTTTTGTGAGGATGATGCATTATTTAGAAAATGCTAGCACAGGGCACAGAGGAGAATTGAAATCCTGGTAATTATCATTGAGATGCTGTTTTCCATTCATCCTTGAGCTAACATCAGGGTCTTCCGAGTATAACAGGGGAAAGGAGAGATGTGGCCACACAGAAGGAAGATGGCCGACTGGGGTGTGAGGCAAGAGCTTCCAGGGAAACAAGGAAAAAAACTTCAGAGGCCAAGGTTGTTTTGAAGGAAGGGGGACATACTGTCAGCGGAGGGCAGGGAGAGGCACCACCGGGCCTTGTAGCTGAAAGGCTGGACTGCGGCAGCCCCGAGACATTTGTTGGGATTTGTGGGCAATGCAGCCTCTTCAGAAGAACCCACATTATAAGGGCAGTTAGTAAAGGCCCATGAATTTTAAACAGGAATAAAAATGAACAGATACTATGACGTATGTGTACAAGGTACAGGGTTTCTGCTGTGATTGGAGAGGAAGTTGACTGCGGTTAATCTGAGAAGAATTCAGGAAGAGATCAAAATTTTATCAATGTTTTGAAGGATCCAGGAAGCTGAACCAGCTTTCCTTACCTTGCACGTAGTCTAAACAACTCTCTTGTAAAAGTAGGTACCTAATAATTCTGTCCAAATGAGCAATTTCAATAGTTCTTTGGTAAAAGTAGACAGATGCAGCCAGGTACAGTTTATCTGTTGTTTTAGCAGTGGCTTCCTTTAATGAAGGTGGTGTTGCAGAAATAAACCTGACACTTTCTGTGAAAAGACAGGCCTGAATTCTGTTCACTTGGGAACAGAGGTCTAATATCCTTGCAGTGACATATGGCTACAATTTTTATAAAATTATAAAACAGGCTGTTAGACATTTTCTGTGACAGCATAAAATGTTTAATTAATTCGATGTAAATGATATTTACCAAAAGAAAGTCATATGGAGCATTTTATGATGGCATTAAGATTTATTTCTTTGGGTTCTTGCATAAAATTTTGTCATTGACATAGAACACGTTATTAGGATCATCTTGGTACACAACTGGCCTGATTCACACAGTGGAGGATGCAAGATGGGAGATGATCTGACCCCTGAATTTATGGTGTTTATGATCTAGTGATGGAGCAAATAAGAGCCTTCAAAGAGCAGGTGCCAAATATCCGTGTAATTCGGTCACGCACGTCTGCGTCTAATGGAAGGAAACTCATGATAGTGGTAGACTGATTTTGTGTTACGCAGAGAAGGTTTCTTGCAGGGAGAAGCTCTGTTTCACAGAAATGCTTCCTAATTCATTGACTCTTGGTTCTTGAAGTGCTATATTTGAAGCAAGAATGTTGGCAAGCCATATTCTCCGGGAAATTGTTGTGGAAACTGGAGGTATTTAGAGCAGATATTGTCTTTGGATACCAGAAGGAGCCCCACAGAGCAGAGAGACTTGATCTGTGATGCTCTCAAGTGCAGACTAGATCTAAGGCTAGAAGCTATGGGGGAACTTTTGATTTCATCCTAGCTGAGCCTGCCCACCATCCCACCTTGGATTGTTCCAAGGATTAGAGCCCTTCCCCATAGATTGGAGGTGTTTGGTCCATGGCTGTGACCCCCTGGCCGGGATGTTAGGATTAGGAACCCCCAGGCGGGAAGTGTGGAAAAGGGAGAGAGAATGGTGAGGAGAAGATTGGATAAGCAGACCCCTTCCAATATTTAGATTCTATGATTGGATTTACAACTTGACAGAGAAGTCATTATAAAGTTTCTAGCTCAAGGTCAAATCAGAACAGGAGAGACTAGGAGAATAGCTTTAGTTTCAGTCTTTATTTTTATATTCAAATACCCCAGAATATGGTTTCTAGTTTCCAGAAGTGTTACTGCAGACTTTCTGGGTAATATAAGACCTCACCTCTTCAAGAAACAATAACATAAACAACAAAACCCTGACTCACATCATTTTAGTTTGATTCTATTGATAAGAGTTCACTTCTGTTCTTTATGTTAAGTGCCCATGGCACCATTGCCTTTCTTCAAAGCCTTCCAAAAGCCTACCTTCTGCAATCAACACTTATTATTCTCTACCTCATTCCTCAGCAGAAATTCGAGTAAAGCGATTCATTGCCACAAAATGCTGAGTAATATACCTATCAAGGTTTCTGGTTTACCTTATTTATAAGGGTCTAGAATACGACACACTCAACAACTAAGGCTTTCCTCTAGACTACTTAAAGTGTCCATTGTTTTTCTCTCTTCAGCATTTTCTGCATATGAGTTGCAAATGAGTTGAATGTGTATTTTTCTGGACCTCTTTGTCATTTTGGAAGTTATCCTGATATCCCTTTACCCACGCAGTTGTGCCTCAAAATTTTCTAGAAGTTTACTCATATGGTCAAATGATGTATCCACAGAATAACTTGAAACTAATGCTTTTGCAAGCAAACGCCTATAAACTGTCATCCGTCTTAGCAGAACTTGAGCAAAGACCTCAACCCAGCCATGTCTGTAGTAACTCCATCTTCAAATGGAAAGAAAAGGTAAGCATTTAAAAGGTTGGCTATAATTTCTGGACTGGGCTTGCTGGGTGGAATGGCTTAAGGCAGCAACAGGCCAAAAAAACTGTTACGAATTATATATGCCATATGCTCAAATCCCCAGTTGCACAATTTTAAGATACATTTATTTATTTTTTGAGCACAGTAACAAGAGCTAAACACAAATGAATACATGCTTTGTATTCATATATAAATTAATGAGTTAAAAACACTTTGGGTTCCTTCTTCCTTCTCATACTTCTCACTTTATCCTTTGAACATGCTGTTATAGTAAAATTTCTATTAAATGAAAATCTTAGTATTCATACAGACCTGAATTGTAAGATTTTGTGATATGCAGTAGTCTCATCCATTTAACATAGTACATAATGTAGAGAATGCGTGTGCACAATTTGAAAAATTCACACACATGAATTTTCCCAGTGTTACACTCTAGGAATTGATGAGCGTGTGAATATACACAGGTAGCTGTTTTCCATTTCCTACAAGAAGAAGGAGCTGTAACCACCTTGTGATGAAGGGACAGTTTTCTTTCTAAGAGACTCCAGCTCTAAAAGGGTCTCAGTCATTTACATAGAGTTATGATCATTTCACTTGCTTTAAAACCAAGTTGAATTTGTAGAAGTAATGCTGGAAATGTTACTATTTGGCCTAGGGGTACAGGTCAGAATTGCAAATACAGGCTATAAAATATGGTAATTGTCTAATTCTGAAAATATTAAGGTCTCAGAAACAAGAATGTGCTAGAGTAGGGTTTAGGAATGTATTGAATTTTTTCTTTATACCCTCCTCCCAACAATTGAAAAACGAATTCCTGAGGAAAACAGCTGCAGAATAGTTACTTTTCGCAAATACTTTTGATGACAATGTTGTAAAAAATGACTTTTTTTTTTTTTTTAACTATTCAAACAGCAGCAGACACATAGTTCTGTAAAAATATCTCGGCCTTTTCTGACAAAGAGATTAGAGAATGTTGTGAGCAGGTCATCTTCTGGTGGGCAGAGAATTCCAAGTTCTTCATCTACAGGTAATCTCATGCCCAGAATAATTTGGGGCTGGGTCCTATCAGTAAAGCACATTGCCAAAATAATATTTTATTTTCAGAGCCACATTGACATAAATCGGCTCAAAGAAATTTACGTTTCAACTAGGACTGATTAATTTGTTAAAATGTGTAGCTTTCTGTGCAAATGTCATCCAGAAGGTGGGAAGGACTCAAGAAGACTGGAGGGTTGGGAAAAGAATTCTGTAATATGAGAAGGTACCTCCAGTCACTGGCCTCCATGTTATTCAGACAGCCTGCAGTTTGCTGTCCACACACTCAGCCTGGAAACATTGGGAGGACTCTACAGTTTTGTCTCCACAGACTCCTCCAAATTGCCATGCAAATCCCAACCTCTTTTCAGGAAACACGGTGATCCCAAGGCCTACCCGCCCCCAGTGTTCAGCCACCTGACTTTGGTCATTTTCCATCCACACCCCCACTGCCTTTTACCTTTCAACACACACACACACACACACACACACACATATACATGCAAGCACCTGTCATCCGTCATTGTTCAACTATAGTTACCATAACATTGACTCTCTAGATTCTTGATTAGAACTTGGCAAAAAAGTTTCAATCAAACCCAGGCCATTGTAGTCCACATGGTATGTTAAAGACTCGTGGTTGCATCATTGAGAAACAGTTCCCTAAGTACCTGGGGATGATGGAGGAAGCACCTGCTCCAAGTGTCTCCTATCTATTCCTGATTGGCAAAACTGGTGCTGGTTTTCCAAAACATGAATACAGTTACCACACAGCTTAGCTAACTGATGTTGATTAAGTTCACGTGGGAAACAGTTTAAAATTGTCCTCATTATTAATACTACAGTAACTTTTTGTCCAGACTTACTTTCTATGTTAGAGCTTTTGATTATGTAATATACACAGTTCGTCCACATAGTATGTACATCAGAAATGGTTACTGAATCAGAGAATGAATGTTATATACAATTATAAACTTTCCTTTTGGGAAGATTTCAGTATATTTAAGCTCTGCACTACACGGCTGAAAAACTAGACCACTGCCCACCATGTTCATCTTGCCTACTGACCCAGCATTAGTCATTATAACTTGATCCAACTTTCAGCCTCCGGTGTGACCCAGCTCGGCAATGGGCTTTGCAAGGCCTTATATTCTTTCCAAGCCAGGCAAGATGACGAACTGAATTTGGAAAAAGGTAAGAATCATTCTCAAATAGTTGAATTGCCTTCCCATATTGAAATTTTTAACTTGAAAAAAACTCTTGTCTTAGCCTTAAAAGTTATTACCAGGTCATGCATTCATAGCCTGGCTGTTATCAGACTAAGTTCAAATCTATTATTTGACTGACTACTTATTCTTTGGTTTCTTCTTCCCTCTTAGATGTTTGCTGAAGAACAAAGATAAATAAATAAATAATTGCAGTTTGTCTTAAAAACAAGGATATGTATTACTCTTAACCAAATGAATATCTCTTATATATTAATTTTTTGTCAAAGTATAATTGATTTGCAAGGTTGTGTTATTTTCAGGTGTATGGCATGGTGGTTCAGTTACATATACATGTATATATTTATGTGTGTATACATGTATAGATATATATACACACATATATAAGTATACATCTGTATATATACACACACATACATGTTCTTTTTCAGATTCTTTTCCATTATAGGCTATTACAAGATATTGAATATAATTCCAGGTGCTATACAGTAGGTCCTTGTTGTTTATCTCTTTTATATATAGTAGTGTGTATATGTTAATCCCAAATTCCTAATTTATCCCACCCCCCCTTCCCTTTCAGTAACCATAAAATTGTTTTCTATGGAAAAAAAAAAGTTATTACCAGGTCAAAGCAGTTCAGGTTTATAATCACTCTTCTTAGAAGATAAAGCACATCAAAAAGAAAGCTCACATGATAAAAATAGCTAACACATATTTGGTGTTTACTAGGGGCCAGACATTGCTCCAAACACATTGTCCAATTTAATATTCCTAAAAAACGTTTGAGGTTGGTATTATTTATGCCCATTTTATGACTGAGGCGACTGAGGCACAGAAGGGTTAAGTACTTTGGCTAAAGTCACCAGCAGTAGTGGCACAGGATTTGGACTCAGAAACTCAGAGTCACGCTCTTAATCACAGTGCTCCATTGGGGTAGAACGTCAGTAATGGAAAGTTATCAGAGAGGTAGCCCCACCTTTTTCCTTTTCAGAAAGTTACTCATACAAGAATGTGAAGTGACTTCCTCTCATGGCTTAGTCTAGGTGCCAGTTCTAAACCCGGTCAAAGGACTCCCAGCTTAATATTTCTCACACTTCTCTCTCAAAAAAGGGTTTTATGCCCAATTAAAGGAATCAGACCCCCTTCTTTGTGTCACAGATTTTTGTTTAACGTGGAAAGGTTATTATATGATGGATGGTGTAGACCCCAAGATTATTAAACAAGAAAAAGTCACCAGCCTCAACTTTCTCTGTCTGTCCAATTATCAACCACATTTGGATGGTAAGCTAAGGCAGGGATCTGGAAATGAAATGGTTAGTGAGAAAGAATTGTGTCATAGGAGAAAATTTATAATCCATGACCAGGACATGGTGCCCAGAACCAACAGAAAGTTGAGATGGATTTTGCAGCCAAACAACAGGGATACCATGTATTTGCTATTGGTTCATAGGTGCTTCCTTTTCAGTTTGCCAGTCAGAGTTCTCCAGGCAGTTACTTTTCCTTGTAGCTCAGACATAAGTAAAGACAAGAAAAAAGGAAAGTAGACTCTCTCCTGCATGCATCTTAAGTCAATGTTGCCTTTAATTTAAAAGTTTTCAGTGTTATAGAAGTCAGTTCATTACTCATCATGTCATCCTAAGGCTACCTACACCAGTGAGTAAATGAAATGCAGTAGTCCCACTTTCCATATGAATTAAAACGCACACAGATGCCACCTAGAACCCAGGGTCCTGAGTCTGAGTTACATAGTTAACACAAATTGATCATCTTGTCTTCAGTTCTGTTGGTTGCAAAGCCTACTTATACATTATATCCTGTGGGTTCTTTAAATGGAATGAATTCGTTGGAGGCTTAGGGAAGCTGGTGATAAAATTTTAAGTTATTCGTTTGAATTCCCATAGTAGGCTGTGTCAATCTACTGACCTGAGAGAACTCATTAGATGGAGACCTTAGCCTGAGAATGATCTCCTGCAAGAATAAATAGTGATGTGACTAAGGAGAGATAGAAGGGGGATCAATGGTCTCCTCTGCCTTAGAAAGAAAATTACTGGGGAGAAGAATGAAAGAAAGAAAGACTGAAAATGACCTCATGATGATGCTTAAAGATCAAGTAGCTCTTGGATCCTTAAGGAAGTGGATATTTCCACTTTGATGTACAGGAAGCAGCCAGAGAGAAAGGACTCTCTCTTACAAGACAGGGAATAATGTGTTTTTTTTCTTTTTAATAGAGAATTAGAGAAGAGCCATGGGTTTCCTAGGAATTCTGTTTATTTGAATCATTGCTTTAAAGGAGTATTTTCCTCAAATTGATATTTTATTCAAATTATCTACATTGTTGAATAGGGAGTTATATTGTCATGCAAAGCTGTGAGTTGGAACTTTGGACTCTGAAGCTGGCTCATATAATGGAGAGAAGCTGCCTCGATCTAAAGAAAAGTCTGGAAGCTTGAGACATACTCTTAGTAGTCAACACACCAAACTATTTTGGCCACCAACATGAGGAACCCTTAAAGCACAGACACCAAGAAAGAGTTTGGGGATGACCCATCGCCTCTATCCAAAGTGAGCCAGGCAGCACGAGGACATAGGATCCAAAGTGATTTTGTTTTTAATCCAACTATTTTATGGCACAACTTGTTGTCCATTACCTTACTCTTTTTAATATTCTCTGCATTCTGCCTGCTTTGTGCAGAGGTGGTCAATAAATTTTGCTTCATCTGAATCACATGCAGAAAAATGATGCCACCAAGTAACTCCTTGAAAGCAGGATCGATCTCCTTAAAAACTGTCTTACTGATCAGACTCGGGCACATGCTTAAGTGCAGAAACCCACTTGTTTAACTATATGTATGTGCATTTTTACAGGTGACATTGTGACTATACACAAGAAGAAAGATGAAGGATGGTGGTTTGGTTCTTTAAAGGGAAAAAAAGGCCATTTTCCTGCTGCTTATGTGGAGGAACTCCCTTCAAATGCCGGGGACACATCTTCACAAGCGTAAGCAAGATTCTGAAGGCATCGCCTTACACTCTGTAAATTATACAATGTGGTGCAAATAAAGACAAATGCTGTGATCTTCTGTCTTTCTAACTGGGTGATGGTGATGTGACCTGCATGTCACAGTGCTTTGCACTTCATTCTTTGAAAGAGTCAGAAGATTGAGAGTAAAGGGAGGTGGGAAAGAGGCCTGATGGCTCCTAGAGTTTTCTAATTCTAAGAGACCCTAGAGATAACCTAATACAGCCTCTGCTCACAGAGAGAGAGAAAACTGAGTCCAGGGCAGTTCAGCCTGAAGTCAGTCTTCTGGTAGCACAACAGAGATTAGGACACAGATGTCTTTTTTCCTGGGGTCTTGGGTGGAAATAGCCACAGTAGGCCCACAAGAGGTCGAGCAGTGTCAGGGAGATGGGGAAGAACACAGATCAAGTCCAAGAAGAGCTTAGCAGAGACAGGCAGGCAAGGCACCAGTGAGACAGACCCAGGTTAAGGACGTTAGAATAAAGGACCAGGAGCCAAGGCAAAGAGGCGGTGTGGTCGGAAGAGAGGGTGGTAGACGAGGACCATGTACCGGGCAGAGGATTTCAGGGTAGAATGGAGTACCATCCTGAGCCAATGACCTTCTGAGGTACCCTCTACCCACAACCAGAACTGCTCTTAGAGTGAGGTCAAGTGTGAGCCAGAGACGGCTGGGGATCAGAGGATAAGAGCAAGGCAGATAGGAAAAGGTTAGGAAGGAGACAGTGCCAGAAATTTCATGCCTCCTTGCCCACTTGGAAACTTCATACGCCAATTCAGAAACCAGGAATTCTGCACTTCCCTTCCAGGTCACGATGAAAGGAATACCCTAAGCAACTTCCTAGTGAAAGACACTTTAAGTGCTAATGAGTCTCTAGTTTGGATGGAAAGTTCTAGAAACTAGCATTTACTTGTCAAAATGGAAAATTTAGAGAGATTTATGCTGCTTCCTCAAATGCCCTATAACGGGAAAAGGTTGAGAATGAGAAGGTTCCCCTCTTCCCGAGGGGAACATTTTAAAATGAAGAGAAGTGGTACAGCAGCATCTTTCAGAAAATGACCTAAGTCAGTCTGGAGACCACACTCTCCATTGAATGGAAGGTCAAGGTACTGATGATAATACATCTGGGCAGATTTACTTTTGTGCCAAATAGACAGTCTGGCATTAAAGGAGTAATTAAAACCCATTCTATTACTCTCCTGCCCCCTACCTCTGTTTATTTTTTTTATCCTGTCAAATTTTATATTTTCACAAAGGAAATTTTCAAACCAAGGTACATATATTTTTTTATACTCTGCACCATTACACTCCTATAGCAGGATATAACGAACACATAGAGATATTTATAGATACAGATACCAGACCCGAAGGAGCACAAGTAAAATTTGTTATGTGAGACATAACTTACAGCCTAGAACAGATCAGAAGTTTTAACGTCATCCTTAATGGTGTATTAATGAAGACTTTCCACACGTAGGAAGTAGGCTGAATAATAGGCCATTAGACCATGAACTGAGATTTTGAATTTACATTTCCTCTTCATCTGACTTCTTTCCATTAAGCCTTGATGGATAAAAAAATTGTATAGCAATTGACTGTAGCCTACACTCGATCATTTGTATAGAGAAAGTGATGATAATGGTGGTTGGGCCCTGAAACTCTTTGGAAGTAATTTTCAAAGAAGGGGGGGGGGCCTCTCTTTCTTCATAAAGCAGTTTTACTTTGTAAAGACATAAATGGTTTTCCTGGTTTAAAATGTTGCTGCAAATCCTTTTTGCATCTGTGATATGTAATTTTTAAACTTCAAAGAAATACTATAGTCTTAAACCAAATAAAAATACAAATATTGTTGGGGATAACAGACTTGGATATCTTTTTAGAAGGGGAAGAACTTTCTGGCAGGACAGGTACGGATGGTACTCCTTAGATTTAGGTAAAAATTAAGTGCATATTGGTAAGAATAATGATGTGCCCAAGTCTTCCACAGAGACTAAAATAATTTTTAATATGAATACTTTTAAACGTTTAATTGGGCTTTCTTAATTATACTCCACTAGGCAGTTTTCATATGTCAGAAAGTTTTTAGCAACATTAACAACCTGAAATATAGGCAGTAGAGGGAGGTCTGAGCCAGATTTTCACTAAAAATATCAAAAGCATTACTCTGTCTTCTTTCAGGTAGAGTAAAAGCTTACTATCCATTATCCTGTCAACCAGAAAGATTAATTTTTTTTTGCATTTTCAATTACTCATAATAATATTCACAATGAATATTATGATCCATTTGGATCCATCAAAAAGTAATACAATATTTAGTTTGGGTTAAATTTTATTGTACAGTATCTTTAGGCTTTAACTGATTAGTAATTGGAGCATAATGTAACTTGTTCCAGCTTCCAAGAAAAAGTCTCCCCTCCCCCAAAGTCTTGATGGCCTTGGGGGTAATCAGCCTAATTTGGAGAATCAAAATAACAACACATCCCATTGCCTGTGGCAATGTTAGTAGGAAAAATGTCTAACTCAGGGAAGATGGGCCTGGGGGCAGGGGATCACGAGAAGGTGGGATTTTGAAGGGCAACAGAAGTTACCATACAGAGTGGCTGGGGCACTATCACTCTGTCACTTCAATACTAAAAAGACAATGAACCCTTTTCCTCAGAGAGCCCTTAGTCTCTCTTCTGAAAGGGAAACAGACCAGTAAACACAATACACTGTGATAAATGCTATAACAGGAGTATATCAAGAAGGTTATGAGAACATTTAGGAGGGGCATTAATTAGGATCAAGGAAGTCAGGGAAAGTCCAAACTGAGCAGGAGTCAGGCAAGTGGGAAGGGTGAGGTGGATGCTGTGGGCAGATAAGAAAGTACTGCACGTAACCCCTGGAAAATACACACGTAAAAAACTGATTACATACGAGGCCACAAAGTAAGACTCTAGAAACTGTGTGACCACAATGTAAGTTAGAAATCATTAAGAAAAGGTTAAGTGAAAAAACCCTGTGTGTTTGGAAAACACATATGTATGTGTCCCTGCACACATACAAATGCACATGTGCACACACTTCTAAATAACACATGGACAAAGAATAAATCTTAATGGAAAATTTTAAATGTTAGAAATAAAAAATAAGAAAGTTACTACGTATTAAAACCTGTAGTTTCAGGAAAGCAGCTTAAAAAAAGTACTATAAGAAAAAGGAGAAAGGCTAAAATTAATGAATTAAGCATCCTAATTATGAATTTATGAAAACATCAGAAACAACCTAAAGCAAATAAAAGAAATGAAAAAGATCAGAAATTAATGAAATATAAAACAAAATAAGGGGTTGAACAAAGCTATCCATTGGTTCTTTGAAAGGATTAATCAACTGAGCAAACCTCTAGCAAAATTAAGAAAGGCATAAATAAATATTACTTCTAAGAAAAAAGTAGACATACTACAGATGCAGTAGATATCAAAAACTAAAATTATATATTATCAACAACTTTATACCAATTAATTTGCAAAAAATGTCAGCAAAAGAGATAAACTTCTCAAAAACATATGCCTTATCAAAACTCAGGAAGAAATAGAATAACTGAATAATTCAGTAACTATTAAAAAAATGTAACGAGCATTCTAAAAACATCTTCCTACAAAGAAAACACAGGCCCACATAGTTTTATATGTGAGTTCAAAAACAGGAAGTCTTATTCAAACTTTTTGAGGAAACAGAAAAAAAGGAACACATCTCAACTATTTTCAAGGGTCTAGGACCTAGGATAACTGTGACTCCAACATCCCATGAAGTTTATACAAAGGAAAATTAAAAGCCAATCTAATTCATGGCTATAGAGGTAAAAATTTAAAACAAAAGTTTCACAAACTGAATCCAACGTTATTAAAAACGAAACAAAACAAAAAGGATTGCACACCATGACTAAGTTGGATTTATTCTAGGAAGGCAAGTTTAATTCAACTTCTTTTTTAAGCCTATTAATATAAATCTCCTCATTAGCAGATACAAGGTGAAAATCTATAAAGATACAGAAAAACATGATAAAATCCAACAAACATTCATGATAATTACTTTTAGTTAACTGAAAATAGAAGAAAACTTTCTTGGCCTGGTCAACAAAAAAGAAAACAGCAAGTTTGGGAAACTACACATAGTGCAGTCTGGCCTGATAGAAAATTGATGCTCAGAAGATTAAATGACTTGCCTAACATCATGTATCAATTCTAATAGTAGAGCAAAGACGGGACCACATCTTAATCCTCAAATCTTTCTACATTACCAATGTTGGAGCCAGAAAGCAGAATTTTTCACAAAAAAAAGAGTATTCAAGATTTACCATTATACCGATTACATTTATTTGATCTAAAATATTGCCACTTTCTGAATTTTTGTAAAAATCTATCCAACTGAGTAAAATAACTTCATCCCTGAAGTTTTTCCCTTTGTTGGACCTTAGCTTCAGCAGCTACCTCCAGCTTGCTTGGTTGCTAAGGGAAAATGATAACATGTGTCTAAACTCCAAACATTCTTCACATATTTCACCATACATTGTTCACACTTCACACTACAGTATGTTTAACAATACCAAGAAAGGAGCTGATTTAAACAGCTCATATACTCTCCAGTTTACTTACTTAACTGATGTACTCTCTTTCTACTTAGATGAAACCCTTGTCTTTATTCAGAAAGAGTCTTATTCTCAATTAGCTTTGTCATTTAGTCAAGAATTGCCGGCAGAAATATCTTTACCTTCTAAGAATTTCTGGACATCTCAGCAACATGCTTGTAGGTATTACTGAACAAGTCAGCTCCTTTTCAAAGATGTAATTTTAATTTCCCATTAAATAATCCCATATTGAGTCTAGAAATGTGTTCGACATTAACAAATACTTACTAAGCTTCTACTATGTGTTAGATACTATGCTAGAGTGATACTAGGCACTTCACTGTCATGGTACACAAATTAAAATATAACTAATTGTCTCTGTACAAGAATCCTCTGAAGTGGAAGAGAAGCAACACATTCTAATCCTCATTACCTGGGAAATCAAAACTTTAAATCCACTAGCAGTACATTTTAGCAGATTTTGTGCTGATTCTGTTTTTTTAACTTAATTAGTGATTGAGTTTAATTTTAGAGGGCTTGTTGTTCCATTTTATTACAAAATGTGGAATAGGTTAGTCCACGCGATTTGGATTCCAGTTCAGTTTTACTACTTGTGTGCATTTGTTTCCCATTTAAGAAAATCTCTTACCTATGTATCTTGTGCTTTATTTCCGTACCAGTAAGACTGTAAATGCTTAAAAGTATTATTTCTTATTTACAACATAGCATCCTAAATAAAATGGATAGAGCAAATTTAATGGAATAGCTTGGTTTACCTTTCACATGTATTCAAAGCGCAATTTTCATAATGTATCAAACTTTAAAATTTAAGCTAATATACTAATAATGTTGACTCCAGAATATTCCTAGGTTGGCACAGAGCAAACCTCAAAAATTAGGGCATTTATATTTGATTGAACAGATAAAGACTTACGCATAAGTCAACAGTCCTCCATCCACCATTTCCATAAAGACCTGGGTTGATAAGTGCAGTCTGAATACCTAGAGATGGTTCTCAGTGAGTCACTTGGGTTCTGAAGGCCAGGTACTAAGGATCCAGACAAAACATATTCCCCTGTTTTTTTTTTTCTTAATCATTATACTTCTATAGAAACAAAAAAGCAAAATTATATTACAAAAATTCAAATTTGTAAAAAAAAAAACAAAAAAATTCAAATTTGTATAGAATCTTTGTTAAGAACTCTGTCTTCACATACTTTCTCTGCAATATAGCATAGAAAGGCATAAGGTAGAGTCTAGGTGAAGTTCATGGGTTAGGTGCCAGACTGCCACCTGGGTTTGAATCCCAACTCTAACACTTCCCAGCTATCTGACTTGAAGTTACTTACACTCTCTGTGCCTTGGATTCCTTATCTGTAGAACTAGGTTATGGATAGTACCTACCTCACAGGTTGTTGAGGGAATATAAATGAGGTGACATCTGTAAAGGGCTTAGAACAGTGCTGGGCACATAAGAAGAGTTAAGAAAGTACTATTATTCTAAGGTGGCCAACCCTAACCAATTCCCAATTCCACTTTTAGAATGAATCAACTTTCCAGGTGAGAAAACAAACTGATACAAATTTCTATGGCTTAAGGCCCTTTGTTTGGTATGAGAGTGCACTTTATTCATACGTCTGACCTTGGATCCCAGCTGCAAAGCTGGTTCCTATGCTATCCTTTTGTGACTTTCCTGCTACGTGGTCTCATTCAGATGTCTTGTCCCACCTCCACACCCCAGTTAGAAGAAGTGAAGAATGGTGGTCCTTGAGGAGAAATGGACCTAAGTGCGGAGCTACCCATTTAGTCTCTCATCCCCCGTCTTCATTTCTCTAACTTGCAGGTGAAGAGGATCTTTCAGAATCAATGCCTCGTGCCTTCTCGCTGTATGGTTCAAAACACTGTATCAAGAATTTGTGGTATGAGACATGGTTTTCCTCTAGTTTCAATGAATAAAAACATTTTCTTAAGTTCTGTTTGTTCCTTGAGAATATATTTCAAGCAGTAAATATGTACTCACTATAGTAGTCATCTGCTATTTTTTTCTGTTAAACATGTAGTGTCTATTTCCATTTAGAGAACTACAACATCCCTACTCTTAGCTCAGTTTTCGAGGTTAATCTACCTCCAGACCTGGGTTTCCTAGGCATGAGAGGCCACTGAGGGAGAGTACTCTGAAACTCCCTCCAACCCTAACTAGACAACTGGTCTAAACATTTCCCCCAGACTGCAAGGAGGAGACAGCAGTAGCTGGAAGCACGAAGGCCACTGCTCCATGGCTTTTAGGTGTGCCCAAGATATCCTGAGAGGTGTAGTATGTGCCTTCCACTAAAGCCAGCAGACCTAAAGACAACCAAATTTATAAAGAAAGAATGGTGACAAAAATGAAATCTTAGAAGAAGTTGATGGAGTTCTAGTTCGTATTGAATAGACTCCAAAGATGGCAAATTTGTATCCAGACCACAACTAGCCAGTATAAATATTATAAGATGAAAATTGGTTATAAATTTTCTATATTTGGATTTTCAAAATTAGATTCTTTTCTAAAAGACATTTTAGAATACTGCCAATCTACTTCTGATGTAAAGATTTGTCCTTTATTTTAACTGTAGATCCCACTTGGTTTAAGATAAAAATATTCTTTCCTTTATGATATTAGGATAATATTTATTTTGTGAAGTACATTTTAAAAATTGCAAACCTTAGGTTGGGCCCACACCCCCTCATTTTTTATTATTACTGGTCCATGACCTCCAAAAGCTTGACTTTATAAATCTTTCCTAAGATTTTAATTTAAATAATTTACAGAAATAGCACACAGAAATGTTACAAAAATACAAACGGATTATAGACAAACAACAAATAATGAGACCTTTTTTAAAAAGAGAAACACAATAGGATAACGGTTTTTATATACTATTTATACATTAATTATAAACAATAGCAGTAAAAGCTTTCCGAACATTGGCAAGAAAAGCCGAGAAATTGTTGGACTTCCTTACATTTTCTTGAAATTCTGCTAGGCCCTCAAGATGAGGAGCACTATCTGACACTAGAAGGGGGAAAAAAAAGGAAATTTGAATGAGTTTTTTAATAGAAGAGAAATATTTCTAACTTAGATGTTCTCATCTGATTCAAGTCATTTCGATTCCATTTTATTGAAATGCTTTCAGCATAGAATGATAGATACACTTACTTGATTTTCGTATCCTGTCTTTTAGACCTTTCCTTTGTTTAATCTCTAAATATTCAAATGTTAAGTACTATAATCTTGCTTTAAATTTAAACAGAAGGTAATCAAGGGATTGAAGAGCTTAGAGAAACAGAACAGCATGCCATTTCCCATACATTTTGTTTTAACTGTTTAAAATATTTTAACAATTTTTTTTTGAACTGTTGTCAGTTTTCTCTGCAAAATTTGGCCTCAATTCTAATTTCTGGTCACTGGATTAAAAAAAGAACAACTTTCAATGGCAACCCTTAATAACTTACAGCTGTGGAAAGAAATATCTGAACTTTTACAAGTGAAATGGGGGTCATTAGAAAATGTGGTTGCTATTCCCAAAGTGGTATTTACATGGACTAGTAATGAAATGAGACTCAAAAGACAAAGAACAATATGACCCTCGAATGCAGTTGCACCAGCTGGTACACACTGGGAGCAAGTCTCCAGTAAAGGTGGTCAAAGGAAAGGAATGATCCAACTTTCTCTACCGTCAATCTTGTCCTTTGTCCAAGGAGAAGAAATTCAACCATGTCAGATTTCCAGCTCTTTGGTAGAGACTGCTTAGGAAACAATGCCCATGACCAAAGCAGAGAAAGAATAGCAAAGAGTGCTTGGTTCAAAATTGATACTGTAGATTCTATTTTAATACATTATCAAATACTGTGACACTACCTAGCAATAGAGGCTATCCAAGTTGGTGAAAACTGAGACGCTAGGTAGGAGGTTTGGGGGTTTGCTTTTTAAAATTTAGCACCCATTATCAGACTAGAAGATATTTACCTATAGAGTAAAAAATCAAACACTTGTACCTGAACTAGATTCCTAAAATATAAATTTCATTAGAATAGGAATTGAGTCACTAGAGCACATCAGGGAGCCAACTCAGCAGTTTACCTGAGCGTCTGTCTGCTATAAACGCTTTAGAATGAGAACATAGGTATAAAGAGCTAAGACCCATTTTTCTGAATTCCAATTAGTTAAGGACTACTTTAAAGGGGGCCTTAGAATAATAAAAAGAGATAAATATATTTCCATTCTCTTCTTGTTCACACTACTGCCAAACATATATATTTCCCATGCATCAAAGCCCTTCTGGCCTGCTGGAGAATCAGTAACTAAGCTAAATTATCAACGTTCGGGATTTTCAGGATAGGATAACTTGGGGGGAGCGGGGGTGTTAAATGATCACATTCTGACTTTACATTCAATTTTAAAACCACCTACTTAGATAACTTACAATATCCACATTTAGGCAGTCATAACCTTTATAGCTTTAGCTTTGTTTTAAATTCTCTTAAGAGGATAATTCATACTTGCATATGAAATGCAGTGATCTTTGGTCTTTTAAGTCTTTTAGCCACAGTGGCACTGTGTCATCCTGAAGAAAAGTTACTTATTAAGGCTCCTGGATAATATCTATAAAAAAACTATACTCATTGCCTTTAGAAGATAATATTCCAAGAAGCAAGACTGGAAAAAAAGCAACAGCTTGTGGGAATATTACTTGCCTTCACATTACTTTATATTCTAAGTCAAATAACATTCTGGGATGCCAATCTTAAGTACCAGTTAAGAGACAGGAGTACATACCTTCATAGTCCCTCGCTTCATTTAGGCTCAGGGAAAACATAAAGGGGCTCTCAGGATGCTTAGGGTCAATATTAGTGAATATAAACTGCAACTTATCACCTGAAAAAAGGGATTAAATTATTTAGTATGAGAATTATTTTATTGTGCCAAAGCTCTCAATGGAGATGAGCTTTCTTACCTCCATCTCTGATCAATATCTACATTGCTAAGTACATATATTCACTTAACCAATGTCTCCAAACGTACAAGTTACAAATTAGCTTTGAAATGCACTGTAGTTTCAATATGACCGAAAGCACAAGCAACAACAACAAAAATAGATAAATTGGACTTCATCAAAATTAAAAACTTTGCCCTTAAAAGGACACTATCAAGAGAGTGAAAATACAACCCATGGAATGGGAGAAAATATCTGCAAATCATAGATCTGATATGGGTTTAACATACAAGATATATGAAAAAAACTCCTACAACTGAACAACAAAAAGAAAAACCCAATTCAAAAATGGACAAAGGGACTTGAATAGGTATTTCTCCATAGAATATATACAAATGGCCAATAAGCACATGAAAAGATACTCCTTACCACTAATCACTGAGAAAATATAAACCAAAACTACAATGAGATACCATTTCACACCTACTAGGATGACTATAATAAAATAAATAAATAACAATGTGGGCAAAGATGTGGAGAAATTGGAGCCCTTGTACATTGCTGGTGGGAATGTAAAATGGTGCAGGTGCTGTAGAAAATACTTTGGCAGTTCCTCAAAAAATTTAAACAAAGAATTACATGACCCAGCAATTCCATTCTGCGGTATATACTCAAAAGAACTGAAAATAGGGACTCAAACAGATAACTGCATGCAATGTTCACAGCAGCATTACTCACAGCAGCCAAAAGATGAGAGTAATCTGGTGTCCACCAACAGATGAACACATAAGCAAAACATAGCGTATATATACACGATATTATTCACCCATAAAAAGGAATGATGTTTTGATACTTGCTACAACATAGATGAACCTTGAAAACATTATGCTTAGTGAAATAAGCCAGACACAGAAGGACAAATATTATATGATTCCACTTATATGAAATACCTAGAATAGGCAAATTTGTAGAGACAGAAAGTAAATAAGATGTTATTAGGGGCTGAGGGGAGAGAGGAATGGGAATTATTTAATGGGTACAGAGTTTCTGTTTGTGATGATGAAAAATTCTGGAAACGGATGGTGGTAATGATTGCACAACACTGTGAATGCAATTAATGCCACTGAATTTTACAATAAAATAGAGTTAAAGTGGCAAATTCTGTTATATTTAACCGCAGTAAGTTTTTATTGTCATTTAATAATTTGACAATAAATTTAACTTGACTTTTTCTACACAGTTATCTGGACTTAAAGCCTAGTTTTCAAAAGACCTCCAAATGCTTACTAAGGAGTAAATACTCAGTAGAAATTCAAAATGGCAGCCACAAAGTAGAAATTCACATGCATTTCAGTTTTACTCTACAGCATAAAAAATGCTTTTAATTATAAAAAGAAATCTTCAGAAACACTGAAAAAAATTTGTCTTGCATTTAAATTCAAAATGAAGTAATTATGTCAGTATACCAGATTTTTTAAACTGTTAACAGTAATGGGAGGTATGCATGCCAAAGAAAAGATTTCATAAGATATTCAGTTAGGCAAAATGAAGAGTTTAATTTGTGTTGTCTCTTCTTTAAAACATTATTTCCTGACCTTGAGGACTATGAGAAACTTCTACTTTAAATATAAAAATAATTTTAAAGCTTTAAAACAAAACACAAAAAAACACCTCAGGATAACAGTGAATATAAACTTAGAGACCAATGGATCAAAAGTTCAGAGCTGGACCTTATGTTCTCCTCTAAGCAAAGGTTAATATTTTGTATTAAAAACTCATTCTGACAGATAGGAAGAAAAACAAAAACCAAGGCAAATAGATATATGAATAAAGGGCCCAATCAATCTCAGAAAGAAGTGTAATTAGTAAACAATGGGAAAAAATGGTCACATTTTCATTAATAATTAAAGAAATGCATTTAAAAAAATAGTTTCTATTATATCTAGTCAACTGCTAAAAAACAAAATAAAACCAAAAAACTTTAAAAAAACTACAGTTCTGGCACAAATACAATGCAATGGGTACTCTTTACATTGTAGACAGATTGCACAGAAAAGTTAACATAGCAGGCCTGAGACTGCTATCCCCAGAAAAGGCCTGCTTGCAAGGCTGGTCCTTGCCTGGTGTGTCAGAGATCCCCAAGGCCACCACAGGTTTGAAAATTCACTAGGAGGACTCAGGACTCATCATATGGTTATACTCAGTGCTATGATTGCAGTGAAACGATACAGCAAAATCAGCAACAGGAAAAGATACCTGGGGTGAAGTCCACGGAAAACCAGGCACAAGCTTCCAGAGTCTCTAATGAGCTTCCCCGGTAGACAACACTTCACACGTACTGTCACAATTCGATGCTGAAGGGATTAAGTACGTCCTGTGTGACTCCACTGGGTTAGGACTCTTAAAAACTTGTGTCTGAAAAGCTCGTTTTCTCTAGATTTTGCCCCATGTGCCTTTTATCTTTGGGCTGCTTTTGTTTTGTATCCTTTCACCGCAAGGAATCTGAGCCCTGCTGAGTCCTGTACACTTTCCAGTGAATCGCCAAAACTGAATGTAATCTTGGGAACTCCCAACACAATAAATATTTCTGTAAATTGGCACATATTTACATAATGGCTACAAAAATATTCATCTGCTTTAACTCAGTAATTCATTTCTGGAAATTCCATGGAAATTGTGTCAAAAAAATGGAGAAGTCTACCTATGTTCACTACAGTACTTCTAAAACTGAAAAATGTAAAATCCAAATGTTAACAGAGTAATATGGGTTAAACAATAGATATAAGTTTGAATAAGTTATGCTACACTTATGGAATGAATTATTACACCACCATTTTAAAATCACCATTATGAAGGCTATAGCAATTAGAGAAATACTAATCATACAATGCTAGTAAGAACAAGGAACAAAAATTATCTGCATGTTGGCAACCATGCCTAAAATACATTTATTAAAATACTGGATGATAAACAACCAAGGGTCAGTAATTACATTAGGGTGATAAAAATTTTGTAATTTTTTCCTACTATCTAAAAAGTTAATAATGTGGCCATTATTTTACTTGAAAATATTTTTTAAATTCTTTTCTACTTAAGACAGACTTTTCTAATATCCTATGTTTTACTTACATTAATATACTTACCATAAATTTTTCGAATTTCTAGTCCAAGTCGATCTGTATACAGGTCTGCAGATTTCTGTAGCCTTTTCAACCTCTCTTCATTAGCTTTGTTAGCAGTGGAAATAGCTATAATTAAAAACACAGACACAGAGTATTGAATATTTTAAATAACATTCAATTAATGTTATTTAATTAAAACAAACTTAAAAACAACTATAAAAATGATGCCAGGCAAATGAATCAGCTTATATTTACATTTGTTACAGTTTCTATCTCTACCAATTTGCAAAAAGGGGCTTCTGCTCATTCAAGCTGGAAGGAAAAAATGCATGAGAAAATACATACAGGTAGTATGAGGAATAAGTTTTATTCTATTTTATTATGAAGTAGCATGAATAAATAGGCCAAGGGCTTGCATGACTAGCACAGAAACAGAAAGACTTCTTGTACACTATTTTGCTTTTCCTGGTTAGCCAAAGATATATCAATTGCTTCACTGGAAAAATATTCTATTCTTTAAAAATAACTACTTCTCACAAGAAGTCAGCCTTATTTCACGCTAGTTTAGAATTTTTTTTTAAATTTAGTGCAATATTCCCTAAGTAATACTTAGCAGATGAGAAAAATAATGTTGACTGGTACATAAACTCTATAAGGAAAAGCAGTCACAAAACAAACTTTGCTATTTTCAAGAGATTTTAGAATTGATTATTTCATTTGTGGGCAAATAAGGCTCCTATCCAAAAGAAGCACCCTTTTTAAAAAATGTGAACGGGGCTTCCCTGGTGGCGCAGTGGTTGAGAGTCCGCCTGCCGATGCAGGGGACGTGGGTTCGTGCCCCAGTCTGGGCAGATCCCACATGCCGCGGAGCGGCTGGGCCCGTGAGCCATGGCCGCTGAGCCTGCGCGTCCGGAGCCTGTGCTCCACAACGGGAGAGGCCACAACAGTGAGAGGCCCGCGTACTGCAAAAAAAAAAAAAAATGTGAACGTCTTAGACAAAGAGGCTTTGCAGTTGTGAAGAGCATGCTTAATAGTTCCTGACAGAGAATGTATGATCAATAAATTTGTTGCATAAATTACACTATGGTTTCTCCCAGGCAAATCTTATTTAGTGAAACTGTCTCCCACTTTGCTTAATTAAACTCCCATATCAGTTTCATTATTCTCTGGTTCTATCAGAAATCAAAAGGATCTTTAAGCAAAAGAAGGAAAATGAAACGCACTTAGCAAACTTCACAGACACCTTGCAGAGAGGTGAGTGGCTGGCTGTGACCGTGACGTATGTTAGCCACCTGTGGCGGTGAGCTGGGGAGAAGGCAAGATGTCCACACTGTGAACCATCACCACTTTGAAATTTAGGTTGTTTTAAATACATGTACAACTGGAAACTTACTTTCCCTCTTCCTAGCATATTCTTCCTTAAGATCCTGGATATTTGCGGTCAGTGCGTCCAATTCCTGCTTTTTGTCTTTTACTTCAGCAATCAACTTCAACAAATTCTCTTTCTTTTCTTGAATGAGCTTATTCTGCCTGCAGATCTCTGTAAGAAGCACAAAGTATTAGCTAGAATCTATATGCTTTCCTTGTCAACATGTATCTAAGAGCAAAATACTTTCATAAAATTAATAAAGAATGTTTTAATTGATAAGCATTTCCCGATGATTGTAAAAATTGTAAAGGAACAACAAAAATCCATATCTAGTCTTTCCTGTTTGTCTTTGAAAGCAAAAATGAAGAGACAAAAATGCTTATTAAAATGAGAATACTAAATTAAACCACAAAATACAAAATCAAAAGATCATGACCTTTGCAGCTCTCCCCTCCAAATAAATACATGAATAAAACCTACCACCAAAGGCAACCAAACTCTAGAAGATGGCTTTGCAGATGCTTTGAAGAAATAGCTAATTTTAATGTCATATAAATAATTCTGGAATATACCACAAAGAAGAAATGAGAGAGGAAGAGAGGGAGGTAGGGAGGAAGAAGAGACCTACAGCTCAGTTAAAACAAAAAAAAAATTCGAAAACAAATGTTGGTATACTTAGCAAATTAATATGATAAATATCGTAAGAAGTAGATTGTTCCCCAAACAAATTTATTAAATATTTAAATGTAAAATGAAATCTTATGAAACCTAAAAGGCAGTATCTGTGAATATAAAACTAACTATATGGGGAAAGACTGTTTTACTCAAAGGCAAAAAGAAATCAAAGAGAAAGGCAGGCAAGCAAATAAACTCATATTTGATTCAAATAAGCATAAAAACTCTACTATATGCTAGATACTGTGTTCTTACATTTATATAAATTTACTTAACTTTCACAGTAATACAATTACCATGTACATCTTACTCTTTTTTAAAAGAAAAAAAATACTATATATAAAATAGATAACCAACAAGGACCTACTGTATAGCACAGGGAACTCTACTCAATATTTTGTAATAACCTATGAGGGAAAAGAATCCGAAAAAGAATAGATACATACATATATATAACTGAATCGCTTTGCTGTACACCCTAAACTAACACATAGTAAACCAACTATAACTTCGATTAAAAAAAAAGAAGGAAAAGACTCAGCAGTTCAATAACTTGCTCACAGCTTTACTTGCTAGAATGCAATCAACAGTAAGACCTGGATTCAAACTCAGGTCTTAACTTCAAAGGTCATGTTTTGTTTTGTTTTGTTTTTTCCGGTATGTGGGCCTCTAACTGTTGCGGCCTCTCCCGTTGCGGAGCACAGGCTCCGGACGCGCAGGCTCAGCGGCCACGGCTCACAGGCCCAGCCGCTCCGCAGCATGTGGGATCCTCCCGGACCAGGGCACGAACCCGTGTCCCCTGCATCGGCAGGCAGACCCCCAACCACTGCGCCACCAGGGAAGCCCAAAGGCCATGCTTTTGACCATTAAACTATCCTCTCCCAACAAAGGTAATTATTCTTAATCTAAAGAAGACACAAATATAAATTCCTAAGAAAAAGACCAGCAAAGGAATGAACAGAGGAAACACAGAATGCAGATGGTTCTCAAATACAAAAGATGATTTAACCTCAGTAATCATAGAAATGCAAATAAAGCAATAACACACTAATTTTCACTTATTATAACAATGTTCACAAAAATAATAGCTAGTGTTGAGAAGAATGAAAATACTAGAGTCCATGTGGAAATTTTTTTTTGGAAAATATTTTTGACATTGCAAAATAAAAGTCTTAAGGATATTCATGTCCTTTGATCCAGTAATTTCATTTTTACAAAGTTCCTCTAAGAAAAGAAGATGTGTGCAAGTATTCATATACAAAAAATTATTTTCAGTGTTATTTATAATGTTGAAAAACTGAAAACATTGTATATGACTAATAAGTAAATTATTAAACACAGTATATCAATAAGGTGTAATGTATTTTCAAAGAATTCAGTAATGTGGGAAAATCCTGCCATAGTAGATAAAAGAAAAAAAAAATGATACAAAGTTATATAGATACCATGAACACAATTATCTTTTTTTTTTGAACACAATTATCTTAAAAAAACCTAGATAGCATATGAAAAATAAAAACTACAAAGTCTTCTGTTAAGTGTGGTTCTCAACATTACAGATATTTTTTTATTTTTCTGTATTTTCCAAGAATTTGGACATGATCACATTATATCAGGTGTAATTTAAAAATAAACATCTTATCAGAATTACCAGAAAGAAAAATGCTACTTTTTAAGGATAATTAAGTAGAACTGTACTGCAAAAGAGATACAGTTTTAAAGTCAAAAGTTCTCAGTTCCCATCTGGCTTCTCAGTTGTTACCCAAGGACCTTGATCAAATCACAACTTCGGGGCCTCTTTTCCTCATTTGTAAAATGAGAATAATAATGGCTGCCCATTTACTTTCGCTACAGGGTTAGGGTATCCAATGATAATGTGAAAAGTTTTAAACTATTAAGTGGTACATAAATACCATATATATGAGCGTTTTTATTCTAACATTTGAACAATTGTGTGGATTTGTGCCAATACAAATGTAAGGGCCCTCAGTATTGCATGACTATTATTTTATATGTTTATAGTCGGCTCTTTTATTCGCCAGGGCCAATATTTCAAACTTTCACTACTCACCATGGGAACCCGCCCTTACATTTTCCCTTCTATGTGGCAAGGTGAGATGGTACACTGGAAAGAGCACAGACGTTTCAGCTGCAATCCTAGACCCTCTATCTACAAAATATATGATCTTAGGCAAGTTTCCTAACTTCAGTGAGCTTTTAATTTCTTCATCTGCAAAATAAATCTCCTCTGCCCAACACATAATGTACTTCATCATCTGACCAGCCACTTCTCTGCCACTCCCCATTCACACTGTACTCTAGCCATCCCACAACTCAACAAGCTCTCATGTTTCCACCACATTCCATATGCTCTTCCCTCCTCTAGAATAGGGGCACTGACTCTGATGGACTTCCCCATCCCTCTTCTATGTGACCTTCTCCGGGGCAGTGTGACAGACTGTGCACATTCAAATCATGTTTCTGTTGATTACCAGCTGTCTGACCTTGAGCAACTTACTTAACCTCTCTGTGCCTATTTCCTCATCCATAAGGTAGGATTAAAAACAATAAACATACCTCCGAGGGTTGTTGTGAGGATTCAGTGGATCACTATATGTAAAGAGCTCAGTATAGGGCCTGGCATGTGGTGTATAACGTAAGGGTTAGCTGTTAAATATTTTGTAATCCTCACTGGAAAATTCAAGCTCTCCAGATTCTATGTCACTAAATTCCCATCCCATCATTATAGCAACTATTACAATGTATTTTAATTGTAGTTTTCCTACCTATGTCTTCCACTAAATTGTGAGCAGTGTATAGATTACATCTTACGAATTGTGGCCTCCTTGGTGCTTGGCAAATAGCAGTTAAATGTTCAACGAATTAATCAAACTTATGTAAATTATATTTCTGTTCAAGTATAAACTGATTTTTTTAAAGAAAAATAGTTGATAATGCTTTCAGATTTTAAACTATTTAGAACACATCTTCACACTACAGATAATCATTCAGAGCACACTTTGAGATGAATTGTAGTTTTTGAAAATTTATAGTTTCAAACTTAATTTTCTAATCCCTAGGGATTCTACAAACCAAAAGTGTTTAAAGGACCTAAACTCAATATCACTCTTACAAACACACACACACGGTTTTCCTTCCTGCTACTGGTTACAGAGGGAATGAGAAGCAGTAAAAGGACATGGAAGCTTCAGGGCAGCTTAGAAAATAAACACGGGTAGAAGTCTACCATAACAGCCTACCAGCTTTCCAAGATCAAATGCCTTCAGGGTCCAGATAATGAGTAAACTAAGTGCTCAAAGCAAAGCAGAAGAAACAATCAGGGACTGTGGCATATTAACCACATGTGTCCCACATAAAAGCACTCTGATTTAATAGTGTTCAAAACATGGTGCAGCTAAATTTAGTATCTCCAGTGGATCTCGGACCGTGGCTATATGTCTGTGGTCTGTGTGTGAGAACTCAGTAAAAGCTGCCGATCCACTCTGGACAATCTGCAGAGGCGTAGTAAAGAGAAGGCAAGAACAGCAGTAAAAATATGGAAAGAAAAACTGTCAGAGTGTTAACCCTACACCCAAAGAGCTGAGGGAACTCCAGATTTTCAAACCCTAGTCTGTGAAACTCATTTTTAAAAAATTCAGGCATTTACACATCAGTATAAATGAATCTCACAAGCATAATGCTGAGTGAACAAAGGGACAGAATACATACAAAATGATGCCATTTATATAACATTCAAAAACTCAATACTAAATTAAAATATTGACAGATTAGTTCTAGAAGGTGAGAGAAGAGGAAGGTATAACATGGGATGTTCCATTTATTAAGCTGCATTATGGGTACACATATGTTCATTATTTTCATATGTGTATACACTGTATATCTATAAATACATTGTTTTACTTGTATGAGGGATTTCATGAAGATGTTTAATTTAGAAAAAAACCCTCTGTGATCCATTTCTACAGATTGTCACATACGATTTTGATATTCCAGAAACATCTCAACCATTCGTTCTTCTTCCTTTAATTTCACAGACAGCTTTTCTGAAAGAGAAATTGGGAGGTGAAATTTCAATTCAGCTGAAATTACACTAAAAAACAAACAAAAACAGCATGTTACAAGTTAAACTTATGTACCTGCAAATGCTTTAATGGAATCCTTGTAGGTATCTCTTAGGCCCACCATCTGACAGGAGGTGTCACTGACAGTGCTTCTGAATTTATTCCAAAATTCATTTATGCTTTTATCGAATAGTGCCAGTTCGTCCTCTACCATTTTGTAAGACAATGCTAGAAAACAAATAGGACACATTATATTTTTTAAGTTATTGAAACCATATCAGCCACATATTCCAATCAAGTATATTTTGGCAGTTTGATCTTTGCTAGAAAATGGTTAGCAACTTAATTTTTTTTTCTTTCCTATTGAAGTACAGTTGATTTACAGTACTGTATTAGTTTCAGGTATACAGCAAAGAGATTCAGTTATATATATGTATATATCTATATTTTTTCAATTCTATTCCATTATAGTTTATTACAACATATTGAATATAATTCCCTGTGCTATACAGTAAACCTTTGTTGTTTATTTTATATAGGATAATGTGCATCTGTTAATCCCCTACTCTCATAACAACTTACTTTTAACTCTAGATATTCCAGGGCAGATCAAGCCTCCTAGACTTAACTACGGTCAAGGTGCAGCAGGAAATCAGGACACTCTACCTCCCAGGAATTCGTTAGTAGTGTGACCGCACATAACACTTACACACTCTCTGACCTTGGGGAAATGACTCTGCCTCCTTTTTTCACAAGTAAAATTGGTGACTTCTAAGGTCCCTTCCAACTCTGACCTTTCTGATTCCACCCTGGATTGTCAGGTCCCAAATGACAGGGCCCATATCATAGAATAAGATCCCACACATCTACACTCCCTCTCCCTCCCCCACCCCCAGACCGGGAAAGATACCAGTAAAACGGAGACTGGAGGGGAGTTTAGTGGGCTTAGTCCAGGACTAGTACTTGACCTCGACTCTCTGGACCTCAGTGTCCTCCTCTGTAAAAGGATGTCCTGTAAGACTCCAGGACCCACCAGTTCTCTGTAACGCTAAAACCTTCCCAGTGACGTCAAATCTTTCCAGGAAGGTCACAGACATGTCTTGGCGAAACCCCAAACCCCTCTGCCTCGTCGCTGCCCACCCTGCAAGGCCCAGACGCCCAAACAGCAACAAGACGTGGATTTCAGACTCCGCCCCCAAAAACACGCATTCCGCCTCCAAACCCACTTTCCCCAATCGCGACAGGCGGGTTTCGGAGCCCAGCTCAATTACCACCTTCTCCGGCAGGCCTGAGCCCGACCACCTGCCCCACAAAGACACGAACCGATACCAGCCAACAGCGGGTCTCCAGAACCGGATCCCGCAGCCGCGCCAACTTTCCTATTTCAAACCTATGGCGCCTTCCGCCTCCCGCCTTTGGGCACCTTTCGCTTTCTGATTGGCTGATAGTATAGGCTCTTCATGAAGGGATTGGTTGAGCTAGCCCTCCGGGATTCTCGCGGGAAAGATGGAGAAAAGGGCATTCTGGGATAGGTAGTTCTTTCTGAGAGCGGCTGGACTCTCCGCTCTCCTTGGGAAAAGTATCAATAGTTCCTGGAGGACTGGCCTGACGGACCATTCATCCATTTCAAATAAAAGTTTATGTAACAAATACAAATATTGGACTTTAATTGTATTCTGTTGCCAAGTATATAGCCTCTTCTTTGATACTACCCGTAGCTTAAATAAAACTACTAAAACTACCATTGCATAATCTGTCTCATGATTTAATAACTCTCCATTGGGAAGTGGCTGAAATATTACTGTTTACTGGCTTCTAATAATAACAAATACCAAAATTTCTTCATTCTCTGTTTTTGATCCTGTAAATTAAAGCAAAGACATTAAAAGGCAGTACCTAGTACTGGTAGTCCCTAACCCAGTAGAAATTCAATGACACAAAACTTTTAATAGCCAGGAGAGGGGCAAGATAGGGGTAGGGGATTAAGAGGTACACACTACTATGTATAAAATAAATAAGCAACAAGGATGTGTTGTACAGCACAGGGAATATAGCCAATATTTTATAATACCTTTTTAAAATAAATTTGTTTTATTTATTTTTGGCTGCGTTGGGTGTTCGTTGCTGCACGCGGGCTTTCTCCAGTTGCAGTGAGAGGGGGCTACTCTTCGTTGCGGTGCGCGGGCTTCTCATTGAGGTGGCTTCTCTTGTGGCAGAGCAGGGCTCTAGGCACGTGGGCTTCAGTAGTTGTGGCACATGGGCTTAGTTGCTCCGCGGCATGTGGGATCTTCCCGGACCAGAGCTAGAACCCGTGTCCCCTGTATTGGCAGGTGGATTCTTAACCACTGAGCCACCAGGGAAGCCCTATAAATACCTTTAAATGGAATATACTCTATAAAAATATTGAATCATTACGTTGTATACCTGAAACTAATATAGTATTGTTCAATACTATAAAAAAATAAATAAAAAATAATAAATTAAAAAAATTTTAACAACTAAGATTCTTGCTACCTGCTGTCTCTGATTGGCTGTATTGTATATAAAAGTGCAAGGAGAGACGTAAGTCAGAGGTAATTTAAGGTTTGAGACAATGGTGATACTGCTGGCAGAATTGAAATTGCCTTCCAGTAGGTTTGGTGTGTTGGGGGAGGGGTGTTGTGGAGACGCAGAAGCATCATGAGTCATAATTTTAATCTGTTCAGTTTCAGAGGATATTGTTGTACATATTAACCAAGTGCTAATGTCCTGTAGTCAATTTACTTCTTCAATTAATTACACAGTGGGTAACAGCTTCAACTCTCTGGTAAGACTGCCTGGGTTTGACATCCAGGCTCCATCATTTGATAAGTGTGACGGTGGGTAAGTTACTTGGTCTCTTGAACCTCAGTTTCCTTATCTGTAAAGTGAGGGTAATAATAATAATAACAGTAAGAGTAGTATCTTCCTCCTATACCCAATGTGAAGACTAAAAGAGAAAGTAAATGCAAATACCTTGGACTAGGTCCTTATAAGGTAAGTACTCAAAATGCCTTCTTGTTTTTATGATTTATACACTACCTACTTCCTATACAATAGGTTGTCATATTAAAACACATATAAATAAGACTTTAAATAGAACAAAATCTAAGTTAGCAAAGAAATAGAGAAATTGTTGCAATTCATTACTAACTTTAGCTAAGGCGATGCATGTAGCTCCCAAAACAAGAAAATCACACTACTTGTACAATTCTTCTTTTAAGGAAACATGCATTCTGCTATGTCTGGATAAATACAGAATGCAACCCTTCCACCCCAATCCAAGTTGAATTAATTAATCAGTTAGGTGTGGTTATTTAGCATTATCCATTTAATAATTTGCCAGTGTCTCACAAATACAATTTTAGTTTCAGCATAATGAATACTAAATTTTTAACAATAATCAAAAAACATTTTCAGCAATTTCTTTAGGCCATTACTAGTTCAAGATAATAAATTACTTCTTCAGATTAGAATAATGCTTGCACCATCTCTCTAATGTATTTTTGATGGAATCTGGACGCGCATGACTGATCCGTGAGCAAAATGGAAAAACTGTTCATTAGCAAGGCTTTGAGATAATCAAGACTGACACAGGCTGCAACTACGTCTCTTAGACTAAGGTGAACATCTTGTACCTGAGATTTTTTTGCCCTCTTCAGTGGACTATTTTTGTTAGGTTGACTTCTAGTATGAGTGGGCAGAAACATCCAAAAGATCCTCACAGAAACAAATTCCTTATTACACATGTATACACATCCTCTTGGTTCTGTTTCTCTGTAGCACCCTGACTAATACATATGCATATACATTTTGTTTCTCCATTCATCCATTGATGGACATTTGGGTTGTTTCCACCTTTTGGTTATTTAGAATAATGCTGCTATGAACATGCATGTACAAAGAATATTCAGTTTTTATTTCTCGTAATTTAATTTTGGTCTAATTGTTATGGGCAGAATAGTTGATGCCACTAAGCTTAAGTACCTACACGAATGTGAAGTTTTATACTTTCTACCTCTCTACTAGTCCCTTCTCTGGTTCCTCTTCTCTTCCCTAATCCCTAAATTTAGATGCTTCCCAAAGTCCTTGACCCTCGTTTCCCACCAACTTATTTCCCAGGGCAATCTCATCCCATCTCGTATAGTTGTCTCTCAGATTCAGCTGTTTTGCCCACTTTTCTGCATTCCAGTCACAGATTTCTAGCTATCTTCTGGTCATATCACAAAGATTCCTCACTAGTAACATTTCAAAACCAAACTTTATCATTTTCTTGGTAAATATGCCCTTTTTAAAAATTTTATTTATTTTATCTTTGGCTGCGTTGGTTCTTCGTTGCTGTGCGCGGGCTTTCTCTAGCTGCGGCAAGCGGGGGCTACTCTTGGTTGTGGTGCGTGGGCTTCTCATTGCAGTGGCTTCTCTTGTTGCGGAGCACGGGCTCTAGACACTCGGGCTTCAGTAGTTGTGGCTCACGGGCTTAGTTGCTCTGCGGCATGTGGGATCTTCCCGGACCAGGGGTCGAACCCGTGTCCCCTGCACTGGCTGGTGGATTCTTAACCACTGCACCACCAGGGAAGCCCACAATATTCCCTTTCTTTTAATGGCACTGGAGTTCTCCCAGTCCTCCAGTTCAGAATCTTGGTATCTTCCATGACTTCTTTATAGTTAACTGGTTGCCAACACCTACAGATTCACCTATATTCCACCACCCCCACCTTCCCTTTTTTCTATTCTCTAGATCTCTATTCAGGCCCTTACTACCTGGTCCTTACCTTCAGACTCTTGCCCTCCCAATCAGTTTTGCCTACCATTGCCACAATAATATTCTCAAAGTGCACTTTTTTCATATTATTTCCCTGTTCAAAACGCTTTCAGTGTTCCTTCATTATCTTAAAAATATAGTCCATATTCCTTAGCGGCATTCAAGTCAAATCATTGATTGACTTGGTCTCAAGTTACCATTTTACCCTTATTGTTCAATTGTTTACTTTATATTCTGATAGAAATAAACAATGAGCCCTGCACTTCTTTAGGTTAATTTTGCTCATATAGTTTCTGTTTTGGAAAAATTTTATTATGAAGAATTTCTAACATACACAAAAGTGAATAAAATAGTATAATGAATCTCTCATGTACTCGTCACAAGGCCCCAGCTATCATCAACCACTGGCCAACACTGCTCTATCCAGACCCCATCCACTTTCCCAGACAGCACGTCATATCACCCACAAATATCTCAGTATGACTTTCTAAAAGTTAGGGACTCGTTTTGACATAACCACAACACCATTAGAACACTAAAAACATTAACATTAATTGATTAGCATATTGCATTAAAAATCTTTTAAAAACACAATTTTGACATTTATGAGACAATTGAAAATTTTAACAATTTCAAATTTTGAATTGTCTCGTAAATATCAAAAACAGGGGATTTTTTTTTACAGTTTTTAATGCAATATATTTCAAATGGAATGCATTTCTCCATTTCATCCTGCTGTCTTGCATTTCTAAATTCTACCCATCAGTCAAGGCTCAGTCACTTGCCACCTCCTCCACAAAGGCTGCCTTGATCTCATAAGCTGAAAGTTAAATCTGCTTTTCCTCTTGTCCACTTACTCTGTTAGCCCCTAAGGACACAGCAGTATGTCATTTACATAAATATCTTCCCTGCGAGACCACAAGCTCCTTGAGGTATGAGTTAGCCCTGTCCTGACCAGTACAGGTAAGAATTATGTCTTGCACAACTAGTGCTGCTCAAAAGTGATGTTCCGCATGCACCCAACAATATCACCCTCATCTAGGAATTTGCTGGAAATGCAACTTCTCAGACTGGTCTCCATTCCCACTGAATTGAAAACCCTGGGTGTGGGTCCCAGTAATTAGTGCTTTAGCAAGTCATCCAGGTAATTCTAATGCACACTGAAGTTTGAGAATACACATAGTAGGAATTCTATTATTTATTTATTTTTTTTTGTGGTACGCGGGCCTCTCACCGCTGCAGCCTCTCCCGTTGCAGAGCACAGGCTCTGGACGCACAGGCTCAGTGGCCATGGCTCACGGGCCCAGCCACTCCGCAGCATGTGAGATCTTCCCAGACTGGGGCACGAACCTGTGTCCCCTGCAACGGCAGGCAGACTCTCAACCACTGCACCAC